GAAAATCATTTATTTACTTAATTTAAAGCCTGTTCCTGATGAGTAAAATCAAAAATATTATGGTGATAATAAGTGGGTAATTATAACTATTTTCTATTTGAACCGTTTATGTTGTCAAATGGGAATTTCTATTAATTTTCAATCAGAATAAAAATATTTATGACAATAAAACTAAAAATGAACTTGCGCATAAATTCTAACATATTTATTTATTTGAAGATTTAATGCATGGGTTTTCTTTTGAAAGGGAAAAAACCATAAGACGAGTAATCTGTGTTCTTATCTGTGACGCACACTCACACTTTGCATCTGCTATTTCACAGTTATCACATACATTAGTCAACACCTGTTTACCATAACCTTGTTTTAATTAGGACAATCTAAGCGCCACATGCAGAAGGAGCAGACTTGTGGTCCGCGCATGGATTTTACGCACAGAGGAAGTTATATTGGAAAACCATTTTCTTAATGCAATACGTGACACTTCTCCATTGTACTAAAATCTTATTAGTTTTTTTTTTTTTTGCGCAAGTGCGATTCCTTTTTACGCTGTTGAATCAAAATCCCAGATGCGTGGGCGCCGAAAGTGTCACAGCAGAGACTGGCAGGGGTTTGCTAACCGAATTGGAGACATTTTTCTTAAGTGTTCGTCGATCAGTGCGAGACATGAGATGTGTTAAAATCCTCATAAAACATCAAACGGCCTGGCAAGCAAATTAAGCACTTAGAATAGACAAATAGTGGGGATTCTGAGCGTAAACTCATCCTGTAGGCTGGAGTTGGAAATGTTTAAAGTTTTATTTATTTATTTTGTGAGTTATGTCATGTCTTGTGTTTTGCATTCATGAAAAAGTGTTGCACTTCAGTTGGAAGGGCGACTTTCCTGCAGAAATTGTCGATAAGAAGCGATAAAAGGAACAGCGGAGAGCTTTGATGGGATTTGCTGCCAGTGAAAGCTGGAGGTCTTTTGAACGGAGTTGTCAGTCAATACCAGTTGGAACTGCCCCCCGCCTCCCTCTTCTCTCCTCTTTGCACACACAGGGGCAGCTGGTTGTGTATATAAATAGAGCCGACAGGCTGGAGTCCCACACAGACTTTTTAAGGAACAGTTGGGGAAACAGGAAAGATGCCCGCGTCGCAAGCTGGATTTGGAAACTTCTTCTTAGAGAGGAACCTCGTAATGCCGACTGGATATCAGATCCCGGTCCTGGGGTGTCCATCGGGTGTACAGCAGCAGCAACAGCAGCAACAGGCTCAGCATCTGGCAGCTATGGCAGCAGGAGTTCCCATAACATACTCAGGACTGCAGGGATACAACTTTGTCCCTTATCCACACCACAGGCACATCGCGCACATGGTGAGCTCAACTTTTATAAAATATTCTCATAAGACTTCTTGTTTCACTTTAAAAAAAAAAAAAAACGTGTTCCAATCGCAACCATACGTGCGCTCTGAATAAACATTCGTTTACCTGTTGCCAAACTAACCACTCCGATATATGGGAAGCAATTAGTGCAAAACGTCGGTACTTTTCCCAACTGGTCTGGTGAGGAAATAATGCAAAAAATTGTTTTTTTTAAGTTGGGATTATGAAAAATTATCAAAACCCCCATAAGAAGGACATGTAATGTCAAGTAAAGGGTGCTGGAGAACCAGAAAAAAAAAGATGATCAAATGGTAAGCGTTGTTTCAGAACGATTCTGGTAAAGAAATTGTATAAAAATCACTTTCTAAAAAGTTAGGATGCTGCAAAACTCCAACCAAAACACTTAATTTAATCAAATAACTGCCATTTTAAACACAACTTTCTAACCAGCAAATTACCATTGTTGATTTAATCAGACAGTCAATGAAATAATGTGGAAATAAAACAGTGAGTCATCTGGTCATTAGACTCTGGTGTTCATTGTGATGTTAAGAAGCTGTTTGGTTTATTAATATATATTTTTTCTTCTGGTACTCTGAAGAAAATGATCAAAGTCATGTCATGAGGTACAAAGTTCTGTCCCAACGTGAAGGTGTCCTGATAACCATTTTAGATGATCTTATTTCCCACTAACTGCTTAACGTAAATTACTCTGTATGCATGGTATTTTGTGGAGAAACTTTTCCTCAATTTACTCAAATTCAAGTAGCTGAGGAAAAGTTTGATGTTTTGTTCACAAGTAACAACCGAAAAGTTTGTAATCGGGTCAATTTATGTGCAAATAATTACTCATGAAATCTGTCTCCTGGCTCAGACACATAACATGATAACATGACCATTAAGAATTGATTTATGAGGAATTCTATTAGTATGTGAACACTTGCCATATTTTTAAACCTGGTTTGTGTAAAGTCAAGTGGTCTCCTGTTGGCCTGGACCAACAGGAGAAGAAGCTACTATAAAACCTGCTTGCTCTTTTTGGCTGACTCTGGTTTGTTTTGTGCTCTTTAGCTTGTTCTCATGTTCTGTCTTTCTGTCTTCCAGAGCGGTGGCTTTGACTTGAAGGCTGCCTCTTCATATCATCATGCCCTCCTGGCCCGCGGAGGGGTCCTCTACCCTTCCTACCGTCCGGGTGCCGCGGAGGATCTTGGCAGGGTTGCCAAGGTGGCGACACGTGAGAGCACTGGTGCGCTGAAGGCCTGGCTGAACGAGCACCTGAAGAACCCGTACCCAACAAAGGGCGAGAAAATCATGCTGGCCATCATCACTAAGATGAGTCTGACGCAGGTCTCCACCTGGTTTGCCAACGCCAGGCGGCGCCTGAAGAAGGAGAACAGGGTCAGCTGGGCATCCAAAAGCAAATCGGATGAAGAGGATGAGGAGCAGGAGGGGGAGAGTGACGAGGAGGAAGGTGCCCTGCAGAAGTGCAACTTGGAGAAGCAAGATGATGAGGCAGAGCATCATAATGAGCAGGAAGCCGGAGATGAGCCTGAGCCGGAATGCTCTGCAAATGGAGAGGAGCGTTTGGAGAGACAGGAAGCTGGGTCAGAGAAGAAAGCTGGAAGCGGCGATTCTGACCACACATCATCCACTTCAGAAAGCAAAGAGAACATGGTCAGTCAGAAACCCAAAATCTGGTCGTTGGCAGAAACCGCCACCTCAGAGGTCTCAAAGAAAACTGTGGATGGTTTTTACCACCCTGCTGGGAAACTGTGGGCAGACTGGGCTTCACGGACCGGACTCTTTGTTCCAGCTTACTACACCGCTCATGAAATAGTCTGAGCTGATCAGAAGACAGTTACAAAAACCAACATTTTGCACTTTAAACCTTCAAACCTCACAGATTTCCTGAAGTTTGTTATGGTATAAAATCTGTTGAGAGACCAAAGACTAAGGATGTTCTGTCACTGTAAATAAATGTAGATGTATTTTTCCACCTGGATGATGTAAATAATATTTCCTTAGTCTAACCATAAATAAGTATTTTGTTAAAATAAACTTTGGCTTATTCCAAAATTAAGGTGTCTTTATTTGTTCTGACAAGAACTTTAACATAAGTGATAGAAAATAGTTTATGAATAAAAGCATAATTTGAAAGAAGTGTTTCACTGGGACATCAGCATCCGTTTTTATTATACCTTTAGAGTCTGATACAAGAAATAATAGTCAGAAAATTATTAACATCTTAATTTTTCTTAGTTTTTTATATCATAATTTATATATTAGGCATTTAAGGGAATGTCTTCATCATAAAATTGTTTGGAAAAAAAAGTCAACAACAAAAAAGATGGCTTACTTAAACCATATATTTGCCGCTTTTATAAACTATTTCAGAACATTTCCTTTCATACTTTTTGCATTTTCAGTCATATTATGTAATGATTAAGTATATTTTGCACAATTGATGATAATTAAAATGATGAAACTTATTTAACAGTATTACATTATTAGACTGATAAAATATGTACATATATGCTGTTTTAATCAGGATGTGGTTCCATTTGTGTAATCAAGTCAAAATGAAGTTATAAATATATATTACTTGTTTTATTTTTGGGTACATATAGTATATATTAAAGCAATTGATGCACTGAGCCTTAACAAAGCTATGGATAACTACAGTTTCACAATCAGCACAAGGAGCCATTAAAGTTGTTCTTGGAAATGATTTTAAAATTGTTTTATGACTCAATTAAACAAATATTTAAAGACAATCAAAGATCACATTAGATCACATTTAAATTGCCAAAAACATGATTTTAGAATGGCCTATAGACTCTTAACGGGTTCGCATGATTTCAGTATGTGTTCACGTTGAAGCATCAAAGTCTTCAGATGTGAACTTGAAGCAATAGAAGTTCCCACTGAAGACAAACACTGACTATGAGAGTTCTGCTGTGATACATGACACCCAGGTGTTTGGAGTAGATTCTTGATTGGCTATAGATCTGACAAGTTTGTAGACAAAATCAACATTTCAAAGTTTTCTGATCATCAAACCATTTCTGAACCAGTTGTGGCAGGATGGGTTAATTCACAAAAAGAATATACTATTACCTTTTCACTGACGTATTTGATCTGATTAAATTCATACGAAGGTGGTCATAATGTTAAGCCAGATTAGTGTTTCCGTGGGGCTCCATATAAAGCTACTGCAAGAGCACTGCTAATAGCCAATAGCAACGCACTTGCGCCTCTTTGAGGATAAAAGAGGTAACTGCAAGAGAAGTAACTAAAGCGATCGGCCAAATCAGAATTTATTTTGGTTGGAAGCTCTTTGCCATAACCCTAATCTTTAGCTTCCACCAATCCATCAATGTAAATCCTGAAAGTAACTATAATGCGACATAGTTACCTGCAGGATTAGCATAGATGCATTATTTGTTAGTTTAAAACACGTATAATAGCTCAGTCTAATTATACTACCTATAGTTTATTTGACAAATTTATATTACACCAACAAATTTGCTCAGTTGTTGTTGCCAAACTATTTCCTTAGTTAACCCTACATTTTTAAGGTAAACTATGTCTGCTGAAATTATTTGTATTTAGTTTGGGTAAAGTACACACGTCCTTAAAAAACATTAATAAAATTTAATGCAGTTTTTACTATAATTACACAGTGCTTCAGCACACCAAAAAAATGAATAGCAATAATGTGTTTCATTGCAACAAGTAGAACATCTAAGTACAACATGCAATAATACAACAGCGACAAATGATTGTACATCATGGACATCGATTCAGCAAAACATACAGGCACATTAGGGTTAATAAATACAGCTTTATCTTCGAGAAAGTCCGTTATGACACAACCAATTCTCTCTCCCCAGTTACATTACGAACTGAAGCCGACAGTAGAGGAACTTGATATTTGTGATTCCTGACGGGGGAGACGGGCAACTTTTCCTTCCTCCTCCACAGAACACACAATTTTTCCGTTCTCACTTCTTCCGTGCTCCCCAGCGGAACCTAAGGACATCGCACAAAAGCTTCTTGTATCTTCCTGGGAAGGGATGCTTCTGTCTTCGTTTTCCACCGGAGTCTGTGGTCCAGGAAACAGTGAGGCTTCTTCATGTGGCTCATTTGGCCTGTATATTGCCGTCGGCCCGATGGATTCAACAGAGTCCTGTGAGAAGGTAAAAGAAAATCAAATAGATGTTTGAAAGAAAAATAGTACATTCTATCATTTACTGAATAAGTAATCTTTAAATCCACATGTGCTTAGAGCCAAAACTGTTGCTTTTTCTGAGTTTGAATCAAAGCTTGATTTGAATTTGAACAGCATTAAGATGTTTTCTTTTCTTTTCTTTTTGGTTAAAAGAATGATGGGTTATTCACAGGTTTAAACTGATCCAATGCTGTATGTCTAATTGTTTTTTAATTGAAACAAAAAACAAGTACAAGTTTAATTATATATGGTTTAATTTAAAAATAACATTTTTGTGTCTAAAAGGTAAAACAATTTTCTACATTGAAGTAAAAAAACCTCCTAAAGTAATAAAAATACACCGATAGTTTTAAACAATAGCAAATTTTGCTGGACAATAAAAGGTCAGAGTAACTATTGTGATGATCGGTAATATTGTTATTTTGAAACCATTTTCAAGTGACATATTGACAATGGCATAATAATCTAAGGCATAATAATGCAAGGAACTAGAAATATAGTCACATTGTTGGATTTTTCAGTGTGAGATTATGCTACTGCATTAAAAAACATTATTTCATTAAGCTTTTTATGTATGTAATTTTGGAGTTAGCTGATTTATCAACAGCTTCCACATTCTTGACCACGTCTCTAACGTTGCTTTATGATGCTCCTCTGATATTATGAAAGTCACTTGTTATTCTCTTTTTATTTTATGCTGGATGTGTTATTGTTGGGTATTAATGATTCCCAGTCTATTTTATAATCATTATATTTAGAAAATACAAATAGTATTTCCATGACTTAAAGTGCATACAATTCTTTTTTTTAAAATAAACAGACAAAGCAATCAGCTACCACCAAAATATATACAAATATTTATTCAAACAAGTAATTTGAAATAAAACTCATATTTACCAATTTTGTCCCCTTCTCTGAATTTGATTTACCTAGAATGAAAAAGAGACAAAATAAAAAAAAAAACATTATAAATGGTTGATCAACAGTATTAACAGCACTATGTGAACTTTCAGAGTGAAGCTTACGTTGGCAATACAGAAACACTCCAAATATACAACATGCAACTCCAAAGATTCCCATCACAGAGCCAACTATGATATGGACCCGGTTCTTTACTGAAAGAGAAGCAGACAGGAGAAAGCAACAATTACATACTGACACATAAAGTCATCCCTAACAATGTCAGAGATCTTACTTTACATTTTTAGTGTAGGAAGTTAAAAGGATTGTTTTTCATTTCATAAAGAATACATGCAATGGAACCCCTGTAGCCTCCCAAAGAGTATAAAAAATAAAAAAAATAAATTATTTGGAGTTACGTGCCACAGAAAAATCCCTGAATCCTGAATGAACGGGCAGAGGTACTTTCAACTTTTCGTCTGTCCCACACAGATCTAAACAATGCTTTAGTAAAACACACTGCTGCTCCCAGTCTCGGGACCGTATTGCTAACAGGTTTACACGCCTGTGTCAGTGAGAAAGTTTCATTCTGAGCAACTCGACAAAATTTCTAACCACAGAGGCAACAGATAAATGTAAGGTAAAGGCGAAAAACCTCTGAGTCACACAAAACTCACCACATACGGTGTCAGATCGGTCGGTTCCAGCTTCCTGAACAGAGGAATCCAGGGGACATCTGGAAAGAGTTTTACAGAGTTAAGGTTTAATACCTACTTTATACTGTGAGTCACATCAATATCTGGCCAATGTGTGAAATCCTATCTCTTTGTATGCAGTCATAACTCATGAACTATAAGTTCAGTGTATGCTATTGGGATTTTATATAAAAGACTAACACAAAGTAGTAAAATATTGCTTTATATTTCAAACTGGATTTAGTTTTGTACTTCAACTACCCCTTCTTTATATTTCAGTTAATTGTTCTTGCTAGAAGGTGAACCTCATTCAGTAGACTCAAGTCTTTGTAGCTTCTTCCAGGATAGCCAAATACTTGTTTTATTTCTCCCCCCAAGTCCTTCCAAATAATAGCAGTTCAACAGCATTATGCTGCCACTACCACTGTGTCTCACAAAGGGAGTGTTGCATCATGATACAAAACAGTGAAATTGAAATTATGACATGAAATAGCTTTTAAGAAGCCCAGCATATTGCTTTAGGACCTTGCAGCAACATACTATGTGGCATGAAATCCAAATAATTCAATTTCCAGATATCTATGTCCCATGCAATGCCTGCTGTAACCATTAAGCAATAGCCGAATGACATTTTTTGAACAAATGTTTGCGTTTTCTGGTTGTGTCATACTCTTTCAATTTTCAGATGGGAGCTCTGTGTAATGTTCAGTGGTTGGAATGCAGTTTTATAACCTGAGTGGTTCAAATTCAATCACAACTTTGTAGTAAAATAAAAAAGGAGACACTTATATTTGATACATTAGCTCAAAGGTGATACTAAATGATTAAATAATTAAAATAGTGAGTGAAAAAGAGAGATCACAGTAGTCACCACAGTCAAAATTCAAAACAAAGAACTTTTGTCACCCTCACTGAATTAGAAAAGTATTCTAAGTGTTGTTGTCTCAATTTGTGGGCATCAACACTTACTTTGTATGTTCAATGCAGCTGTCATACATGGAGGTTACATTGGAAAATGTTCCCTTCACACATGGGTGGCACACTGTATCGTGCTTTTGATCCCCTGAAAGTCAAGAGTGATTTTTTTTTAAAATAGTGTCAAGACGAAAATAAAATTGTTAATTGCTCTATATAAAAATGACATAATTTAAACATTTCTGTCGCACCTTCGGACGTAACGCCCTCTCCTGGCCCACATTGCTTGTGTGGGATGCAGGTCTCACAGTATTCACTTGAGCAGTGGAACCCTTGTTTACATAGGCAGACAGCTTTCTTCTTCGTGTCATGGACTCCAGCATTCATGTTTTTATCTGAAAGAAAAAGGGCCACACTTTTAAAAGACATGAGGCGACAGAAAATACAAATATGTGTGAAATGTGCAGAGGTCTTACTTGGGTCACAATATGGCTGGGCTTCACACTTGTTTTCAGTGGTGTATGTCTCCTGATATTCATCCAGGCCACATGGCTCACATGTTGGAGTACCACAGTTTTTCACTGTCATTTTTGTTCCTGAAAAACATGTTATGGGACAGTGATTTATTTCCTTAACCACACATGAAAAATCAACTTATTCTGACAGGGAGGATCAGTTTAACCTGTTCTTACCCAATAGTGACAAACAACTCCCAACATATCCTCTGCAACTTATTTTCTAGCAATTCTTGCTTTTCCACTGCATTATTCTGATTATATTAGCATAACATCGGAACCCACAGCTGCTAATATTGAGATATATGTGGTATTGGTTGGATTTAGTGCAACTCCATCAACCCTAAAGTACAACAAGTGGGAACAATTCACGCGCTTGGGTCAGTTTACACGTCTGAGTTTTCATACAGCAGGCTTCAAGTTAACCACAACTGTAATATTTCTTAATATTTACCCAGGGTTTTCTGGCCGTATAGTAAAGTCATGCATGATTCTAAGCTTTTCCTGTGTGAATCCACCTAATTTAAAATACATGGGTCATGACAGACTGAGGAGATAATTCAACTTTGTCAACAGGATGCATTTAACAAAAACGTAGGATACTGATCTTCTATGGTTGGAGTTTTCCATCTTTGTTTTAATGACCTCAAAAAGAACTAAGAGAGAATGTGGTTTTTAATATTTCTGTTTTTAGTATGGCTTCGACTGCCGTAGGACATGTGAATCAGATGGATGGGTGAAGTAATGGAGGGACTTTTTTTGTATTTTCTCTAAAGGCTATTGTGTCATAGGAGAACTTTGGAACCTCACACTGGACTATACAGGAGGAAAAAAAAGACAGTCTCTTTCAGATATCTTTATAGATGAGTGTGAAACATTCAGAACCAAACTCCACAGGGAGGATGTGGAAATTCCCAAAGGCTGGGGAAGTGAAAGCAAAGGAGCAGAGGAAAAGTAAATGAAAGCAAAAGCGAGGGGATCTGCAGCTGGTGTAAAGGCGTCATCATGTGAACAGAGCCTCTTCACATCTACCGTATAAATATCATACATGAACTCCAACTTATAGAGCAACTTATGGAAACGATGTTTCCAGACTGGTTACATACCTGGTTGACACTTCATGCAGCACTCGCCATTATCTTCATACTGGGTTATCGGGTCGCAGTAGGACTGAGCGGCGCTCACGCCCTGCAAAGCAGAAAAAACCCCACTCTAATGATTAATTATTCAACTCGTGTCCTCATGTGATCCCTGGCGCAGTTTCTGTGGGTAAAAGTAACTTCACTTCCTCAGTCCACGCTGCTGGGGCTGGGCTGGAAAGTCCCAAAAATTAAACCCATTCAACGCTTCAGGGGAAGCAGCTGCAGGGTTTTTCTCTTGTTTTTCTTGCTGCTTATAACGTTATTTAACGTGTTCGGTTTCACTCATGGACCCGCGTCGAAAGTGAAACTAAAAGCCCCTCCTCCTCCTGCAGGGAGCGCTTCATCGTGAATAGACACAAATCAGCCTGAATTACCAGCATTAAAGCGACGCGCTGGCGTTCAGGTTCAATAAAGATTTAGAAACATCATTTAAAACCAGATCTGAGATAAAGCCGGGGAAACAATGCTGTTCGAGCTGTCGTCGGTTTAAAACCGTCCCCTTTTTCAACTGCGCAATACAGAAATACACATGAATTATGATTATTACTCACCATACGGACGGTCAGAAGCAGCAGCAATAATCCCAACATGATGATAGAAACAGATGAAGTCTCTCACACTGCAGCTCCTTCTGAATAACAGTGCAGCTCTAACCCTGCCTGTTTGTTCATGGGCTAGTTACTACTAAAGGGGAGGAGCTGAAACTGGTTTTCCACGTGATTTTTTTAATTCTTGACCGTTTCCTGTAAAAGCCGTAAGTACCACGTAGTTTCCGCCTTCCCATCCCAGTTTGTCCTCCTCACGGTATTTTCTCAACCAAAACGTGAAAAGTTTTGGGATCATTATGGAATGTAATCCCCCTCCTTCAGTATCTAAATGGGTTTATTTTGCAAATATAAGGATAAAATAAATCATATTCACCTATCAAAAGCCTTATAAAATGACTTGGATTATTCTAGTTCATCTTTAAAACATTAATGCTTATATTTTAGTAGGTTTTGTTCAGTTTCAGCTGCTTCACTCTGTTACACAACATGCAACATGTCATAACAAGTTCATCCTTCCTCATATTTGTTCCCTCTGTGTGATTTGTCTTCAGCAAACATATTTCCAGTGATATTTCCAGGCGAATATTCTAAATGTCAGAGTATTGTATTCAAAATATTATGAAATGCACCAAAGAAAGGCTAAACCACTTGCAGTGAAATAAAAAAAAAAAATTGGTTGTTTGGTTGTTTTGAACTGGATTTACGGATAACAACAAGAGAAGTAATAGAGCTTCTATTCGCATGCCATCAGTTCTCAGGAAATAGAGCATGAGTTTGTTTTTGTGTCCTGAAACAATCTGTATTATTGATTGTAGAGCAAAGGGATTCCCCAAAAACTTTTTATCAGGGGGATTTCCCATCTCTAGCTGCTGTGGCGGATTCCCCTCAGTTGCTCGAAATACACTTCCCTAAAAACTGATCATTTTACCAGCTCGGCTGAGAGTTTACCTTATTTTTCTTGTAGTATTACGTAGCCTAATGTAGTGGGAGGAAAAATTTTTTCAGGATATGAAAATTCCTAGTTATTGTCCTACTCTGGCTGTATGTTACAATTGTTCAAAAAATTATGCGAGAAATAGCAACACAACTAGATGTGTACTTTTTTAGGAGGCATTACATTGTTGTTGTTGTTGTTTTTAAATAAAAGTAAGTGAGGAGATAAAATCCCCTTCTTTCATTGTTTTTTTAATAATTTGTTTCTTTCTTCCTTCCTGAAAATGTTTTTGGGAAAATTCTTAGTTTTAGGAGCAAATTTACTATACTCAGCTTTTTACTGCAAAGAGCAAACTTTATCTGCATAACATATAGATAAAGTATATGTATCTAATACTATAAGCATTATTTTCATATTTTTTTATCATTTGGAAAATGATTCTTATGCCTCAATCTGTTATTTTATATTACTTACATCATATGTAAGTAATATAATGTATTACTTACATTATAATTAATAATGTTATTTATTTGTATTAATTTTAGTCTTTTAAATACCATAATCTGTACATGACTGTACATATTTGTCTGTCTTCCTCATATTTGTTCCCTCTGTGTGATTTGTCTTCAGCAAACATATTTCCAGGCGAATATTCTAAATGTCAGAGTATTGTATTCAAAATATTATGAAATGCACCAAAGAAATGCTAAACCATTTAAAATGATGCAGACGACATCATTTTAAAATATTTTATAAGATAATCCAATCAGTTACTCAGCACTCAAATAGCTTTTAAATAAAATACTTATTTTTACTCTTAAATAATTTCTTGGACAGTTATTTTTTTTTTTTCATTTTACTTGAGGAAAAATATGTTGAAGTGGTGTAACACATATGAGAGTATAGGTTTAGGATACTGTAGTGGACTCTTTTTATTAATAGGGTAACAAGGTGGTATTTTATTTTAAGGGTACTGGAGTAAAAGCAGCTGATGGACAGATCCATTGGGACTTGCCCCAGCTGAATACAAAAGCTCACAAATATTCAGAAATCTGTTAGAGAAATGATTTTTGATCATTCAACTTCAAAATGATGTGCTACTTAATGGGTCAACCATATGAAATTGAAATGAATAACATTGAAGGTTATAGTTGCAAAATGACAGCAAACAGGTGAAAATGAAAAGTCTGAGGCGTATGAGTACTTTTATCTGAATTGTGCAGCTGCACTATTTTAAAACAAGTATCATTCTTTAAACATTCAAGTAAAAAGTTATACATTTAAAGCCAGAATTGATTCTCCCTAAAGCTGTAGAGTATTACATATTTCATACATAGTAACATTTTGGAGAAGCTCTATCAAGTTAGTTCTAAGTTGTTCTTTTTCTACACTTTTATTTATAGTTCTTTGGTTTAATATGTTTTTTTTTTTTTTTGGATAGCTATTCCCTCTGGTTTTGGATTTTGTGCAGCTCTAAGGTTTTTTTGGTCATTCTTTTTTATTTTTGGACACTTTATAAATGGGAGTAGTGGAATATCAACTCAAAATCTGAAATCATGCCTAAACTGTGACCCCAAATTCCAGAGGAGTTCAAAATCAGGCGTGTTAAGATTTAAGATTTACATTTATTCTTAGATTTAAAGAGGAGCAGCAGAAGCAAATAAAGTGGATTAGCAGTGCTTGTTAACAACTGATGGTGTCAACCAGTAACATAATATTCCACGTCACTGCGAAATATTGTCTCTGCTGGCCAGAAATTACGCTGTTAGCATTGATATATTAATATAGTAAGAAGCCTCATTAGATTTGATGCAAAACTAACTGGATAATATGATAGTTTCCTTTGGAATAAATAAAGTTAATTTCTATTATAATCTTTTTTAAATTTATGAAATTTAATCTAAAGTAACGTCCTGACTTCCAACTTTGTTCAAAACGACTCAAGGAGAATATAAAGACATTGTCATGCAAGTGAAGACATATCAGCTGAAATCTCTGCAGGTATGCACAGAAAGCCTCTGCTCTGTAGGTGTGGCTGAACAGGCCGAGCCTTTTAAGCGCAACAACAAAAAACATGTAACCTGAGCTGAACGAGGGCGGTCGCAACAAGAGAGCCACAAATCAGTGCAGTTTCCCTCTCGCCGAATGAGACAGATGTCTCTGGGGTTATTGCATGACAATCAAAACAAAACTAAGCACTGCATCTGTGAAGCAGCACCGTGATCTGCTGGATAGATATTTGTTTGTAATGCCTGGTTTAGGATCAAAGAAGAAAGACTATGTGTCCAGACCGGACAGATCCATCGGGGACTTGCCTCAGGTAAGACTCATAATTTACAGTGGAAGGCTGGAATGACTACAGCTCTATTTACAGTAACTAGCAGGTCATTTGCCATGCTATTGACATCTGTATCTGTTCTTCTGCTACTATGTACCATCAGCCTGACTTTATCTTTGTTTAACAGAAGGCAGCCCTCTCACTTTCATTCACGTCACATCAGCACAGAGAACTTTGGTTGAGTTTATGGGGCTCTTTCAAGCATTTCTCACTTCCTCATTTCAACAAGACTTTCCTAAGATTAGTACTTTCCCACAATGGGACAGTTTATTTACTAAGAAATGTGTCACATGAGGACATTTTTGGGGACGATTCCTGATAAATCACATTATGTGTCTGGTTATTCATGTTACAGCATGATGATTTTCCACTGAGTGCCGACTCAAACATGACCAAATATGAAAAGTGCACGTTTGTGTGCTCTCATCAGTCACAATGAGGTTCTGTAAGAACAGTGTTTGTTCTTACTTTTTGTTTACATAAAAATTGTAATTAGTCATGAAAGTCTCAAAATAATGAGGAAAATCACCAAATTTTGCTCATATGACATCTGCATAAATATCCATGTCTTGTGTTTTTAGTCAAACCTCTTATCTCTGTGTATTTATTTCAGCTGAGCAATGAAATGCAGCTTAGCATCATGAACAGGGTCAAAAATGGAGAGATATCCATTGATGACGCTCTGAATCAGGCAAGAAAGGAAAGAGAGCAGCTCCGCCAGGTAGGTGTCCAGTCCAATCACAAACAGAAAGCACTGAAATGAGACTCCTTTTAGGATGAGTCATGCTTCAGGACAGGTCTTAATATGCTGGAGAAATGAAGATTATAATGACACCAAAAGAAGGGGTTAGAGAACAAAGAAAACACTGAAAAGAAACTGAGTCTGAGAAGCAATTACATAAAGAGGAGAAAGGACACGTTTTATTGTTCTACTGCAGCTAAACATGTAGTAGAACAATGCATGCAGTTGTAACTGAATGTCTCAGTTACAAAGTCCAAGCTGAAGAAAACTTCTTCTGTTTATTACAAGCTTCTAGCTTTTAACGTTGTCTTTGCTAGTATGTTGCTCAGCCTGCTGAGTCAGTTTGAAAACAAGCCGTTTTCTGACCAGTTTCCTGGAGCCAACTTATTTTTGCATTTGGATTAAGGAATGCCAAGTGTGTCCTTTGAGGAAACAATGAATTGTTTATGCTATTCTTTGAAATGTTGTTTTTCAAAAGTGACTTCCTCTTTGATCTATAATTGCTGTTACAGGAACAGCCTGAGAAAAGTTCAACACAACAGTACAACTTCAGCGTTCATAAACATGGCCGCTACATGTGGCAGAAGCGGGTCCTACAGGTGAGTTTGAACAGGCGCTTGTCTACTTGCTGTAGCACAGCAGGGCCATTAACAGCTCAAAGGGCAACATGGTTTGTAAGTTTAAGATAAAGCACTTTATAAAGGTTTTCCTACCTCCTAAACTTTATCACACTTTGTCATTTTATGAACACAAACTGGAGTGCAGATGCATATTTTTAAATCATAGACTAACCTGACACGACTTTTGAAAAATGTTTTACAAATTAAAATCCAAATTGGACTCGATGCATTATTCACTGCATTAATGACTGACCCCTATCTAAGTTGTTTTTGTTCATTCCAATTTTAAGTCAAAAATATTTTATTTATCCCAAAGGAAAATTAAATGCTGGCATAATTTATATCTTCTAAGTATCTTCAAATAATTGTTAGGATGGTGATGATTTGGACAGGGAGGACCTCCAGTATCTGTCAGCGTAGCAGCAAATTTGAAGAGGCCTCTGACTGCAGACTGTTGATGTATGGCTATTACTACATGTTAACAGCTCAATTTCTGGCCGGAGGAGACAATATTTCATAGTAACTTGTCCTAGATATACAGTCAGCCACTAGAAAGCACTGCTTGTCCACCTCATTTGCTTCTGCTGCTCCTCTTTAAATCTTTTTCTGTTTTTTCCATGCCACTTTTTTCCAGTCTCATATCCACTAACTTTCAACCTTGTGTGCATCTAGATTGATTTCAACACCAAACTGCTGTGCAGCATAGAGAGAGGCATCGTCAAACGCCAGCTGCCTTTCTCCATTGTCAAGAGCTGTGATGATGGGGTTGGTTCCAGGTTCTCCATTTCTTTTAAAGGACACCATGACTATGAACTGGAGGCGACATCGCTGGAGGACAAACACAAGGTAAAGTTGTGGAAAATCATTATAGAATTGAATGTGTTGAGATTTTTCATGCTTACAGCGTTCTTTTGTTGCGTAGATGATGCAGCTTGTGAATCAGATAATTCATGGAAACATATACAGCGGTTCTGAAAGTGGGAACTCAGAATTGCAGCAGGAGCCTCAGGCATCACAGAGCCTTAAAGAAGGAGTATTGTTACTGCACAGAGGAGGACTAGCATCATTCAAATGGGTGAAGTACGAATGCATCCTTCTTATTTCAAGTTTACAGTTTAAAGAACAAAATGTAATAAAAATGTAAATATCATTAGAGAGAAATTTAAGAAATCTTGACCACAGACTCTAAGTCCTGCAGGCCCTGATATCAACTCTCTGAATTTGAAAGACATAATTATTATCTATTCAAGAACAGTTACTATACACTGGATTTTATCTGTTTTCTCTCTTGGCTACTTTCTCTTTTGTCTTGTACTATTTACATGAATAATGCCACAATGATGTATAAGAGCTTCAGTCTGTTCAACAGTCTGCAGTTGTTTATGGTAATTCTACTTTACGGCAGAATTCACGACAACTTTAGTCCTCAAGAGCTGCATCCTCCAGCTTTTTAATGTTGTCTATTCCTATCAGTCTGTTTTTTTTAGACCAAACTGAGAAAACTGGTTGCAGAAATTCCTATTATTGTGTCTCCCTTTAATTTTTTATGCTTTGTAATTGTGTTGTGGACTATTGAAAAAATACAATAAAACTAATCACTGAGGAAACGTTAGTGAAATCCTCGTGAGTCTCTTCATTCTGAGTCTCACCTGCATTGAGTACAAATAAATGCTTTTTAAAGTTTATCATTAAAATGTGATGCATATTCATGCATTGTTATCCATCTACTCAATGCTTGAAAGGGCTTATACTCAACTTTTGACATTGTTGTAAAGAGCTGTGCATCATCAGCAGGCTACTTATCTTATTTGATATAGTCAGAGCTAATGGGAACATATGTATACACAAAATGCCTCTTTTTAAAGGAGAAAACAACAAAAATAGAAAAGGTTAAGACAACAAAGACAGCTCTAAATTACTTAAAAGTGCTATTTTTGACTTGGAAAAAACTAAAATACACAAGGACACATTTTATTTCATTCATATAACCAAAACCAAAGTTATTCAATGATACATTATTATTATTACATGTTACAGTAAATTTAAAGTTTATAGATCAGAGCAGAGAAATACATGACTCAAACCACACAGTTTAAAACAATGAAGATGTTAACGTGGGTTACCCACACAAACAATGTGCAGCAGTTCCTACAAGGTAATAAAACTTCTGGGTTGTAAACAGTGACAACTTACAGTTAAAATGGTTGCTTCACTTTGCACCACATATTTCCCCTTTGTTTTGTTTCAGATACAAAGCTCAGCTCCACCCAGGGGAGCTAACACTGGTCTCACTCAGGCAGCGAAGCAACGGAGATGGCGACGTGACATCCTCAGTTCCTCTTTCCACTGTAATTCACTTATCAGACGGTGACACCAGTGTACAGAAACCATATGGCAATGACACATTTGTTCTTATCACCCACAGAAATGAGTACCAGTGAGTAAGAATGTGTTCATTTCAGTCTGACATGTTAATACCAAGCGTTTAGTTTTTTTTTTTTCACATCAGTTATTGTCCAACCTAGTTTGATTTGTAGACATAAATATGATGTTTTTAGAGTTACTTATCAGAGTTTTTCAGTTAAAAAGGGAAGTTGGGTGAAGTTTTATTGATATGTTGCAGGTTTAAAGTCCCCACACAAGAGGAAGCAGTTTCTCTGGGCAGTGTGCAAACGGAGCGTGATGCCTGGGTCAAAGCCATCCACAATCTGTGTTCACATTGGAAAAGGAAGTCCAGATCTGAACACATGTTTGCAGAATCAAATAGCTTACAACATCTCAGTATACCAGAAGATGATGATGACAATGACACTGATCTCGAGGACAGTGGTAGATTTGCTGCTGAAAATTTTGTTAAAGAGGACGATAAAAATTCAGATTCCACATCCAGAGATAGAGAGTGCTCATTATCTGAGGAAGGTCTGAATTCTCCCTCAGCTGATACAAAACCAGTCGCAAAACCCCGCATTGGCAAGGCTGCCATTCAAGCTACTCCTGGATCGAACAATTTGAGTCCCCTCCCGTCACCAACCTCTCCGTCTGCCTCAAAATTACCCATGTCCCCTCCACCCTCAACCTGCCATGCTGGCCTCATGTCCTTTCCTTCAGGCCCAGAGCCTCAAAAACCAGCCTCGCCAGATGTGAAAGTACCTCCACCAACGTTCATCCCACCTCCACCACCGTTCATCCCACTTCCACCACCTCTGCCTGTTAAGCGAAGTACTCTTAAAAAATTCCGGACAAAGGCTTTCCACTGGGACCTCATTGGGCATGAGAAGGTACAGCCATCTTTTTTTAGTTGACCTTCTTTCCAGAAGATGCTGAATGAATAATATTTTGATATCATTTTGGAAAAAATAAATATCAATTAGAATTACATCATATTTTCTTCCTTACAAAATTCTTGAAAGGAACTGGAATTAGGGTTAAACGTAGGGTTGGAATTAGAGTTGGTCAGAAATAGTGAACATTTTCTCAGTAATTTAATTTCTCAAAACCTACGCAAGGAAGGGTTATCAATTTTTCTGTTTGCTGCAATCATAAAATGTCAAAGGAAAAGAATAAAAGTTCTGTTCTGTTAGAAAAATTAGCTATTGGTGATGTTTGCAACAACTTTTTCATCAATGATTCTATAAAGCTCTATTTCTTTGCATAGGATTCCTCCCATCCCCACTGAATAAATTGACTCAAATAAATGGTGCATTTTTCATTTTGTATTTATCCTATTAAAATGAAAGAATATTTTTAAAAGCCTGCTTTTTACTTTGCCAAGGGCACTAACAAATGGACAGAGAGTATGTGTGTTTTCCCCTGGATTATAATATTTTTCTTCCAACAGATTGCAAAAACATTTTGGGTTCAGGAAAAGAGCAAGAAGCCTGAAATCGACACATCACGGTTGGATGAGCAGTTCACTGTCATAGACCTGGGATCATTTGGCACAACAGACTCAAGTTGTTCGCAGCACATCATGCTCAACAAGAAGATTGCACACAACTTTAGTGAGTAACTACTCTCTGATTGCATTTCTGAGTTAATTTTTAATAGCATTTGCAGCAGCATGGCAATTATTAACACATTATTAGGAAGATCAGAAATCTTCATTTCCTGTTGCTGCAAAACCAATTCTTCCGGATTAAGTCTAATAAAAAAGCTCATTTCCATGGGAGGTAATAGGCTACCTGTTCCCACCCAGTAGATGGCAGCACCACACAAACAGTAACAATAATTTCTACAGGAAGGCAACAGATGGCTCACAAACTTTGGAGGTAAATTGAGGACCAGTGTGAAATAAAAACAGGTTAACTGGAAATTCAGCAAATCCTCGGGTTCTCATTGAAGACTGGGACATTTTGGCTGCTAAGCAAACAGATTGTTGTTCTTTATGTTTGCCAGCAGGGGACAGTGTTGTACCAATCTTTAGCGTCACTCTTGCCCCTGAGGGAGATCCACAGTTGATTGTAAGACATTCTATCTCGCATCTAATGGCTTTTCACTTTTGATTACCTGAGGCTTGTACATTTCAAGACCTCACCCGAGGGAGAGTAATTCCAAAACCTCCCCTCAGAGGTCCTGCTTGTAGCTCAGTCCCAGCTGGTAAGACGTACAGATGTGGTCGTGGCCGGCTGCTAAATGGAATCAGTGCGAATGTGCAGACTGGCAACATAATTCGAGTTCATATGTTCATAAAATATAAATAGGAGCATGTCTAAGAGACAGCAGCAGAGATTTCCGGCCCTCGTGCAGAACACACTAATACTACTCCTAGACTTGTTAACTTTTGGTTGTGTCAGGAACTGAGCGATGACAGCCTGCAGACAACCTGGGGCCATGCATCCTTCTGCTTCCAGCTTTTTGAAAAATGTTGACATTTGATAAACAAGGGAGTAAGCCTGGCTTGATGTTCCTCCTTCCTTTGTTCCTCTTTATATCAGCACAGAAAGTCACGTATTTGCTTTGAAGCATAATGAACCCTTGCAAAAGTCTCAATAAACTGGATGTGTTACAGTACTTTCAGAGTCATTCATTTAGGAAAGAAACACATGAATATGAACATGAAAAATTTAACTGTTAATGTTTAAAAAGCATTCTATAGTCGCAGCAAATTTAAAAATGCAAAAATATCAATACATGGCTAAGGTATCCTTTACATCTGAAATGAAAAGTATAATGTTTTCATAGAAAGTTCAAATAGAATAAAACAGAACTATTGTTTATTGTTCTTTAGTGGGGGAATTAAAGTTTAACAGCAGCAAAGTGATGGGCAAATGGAAGCAAACATATAAAAAAAAATATTACTATATTGAAACAAAAAATAACAGCTAGAGACTGTCCAGTAAGAGCAAATTTACAACACCCGAAAATAATACTGCACACTTAATAAAAATAGCACACCCAAATTAAAAGAAGTGTATAACCAAGTAAGATAAAAATGCTAATTTATGCAGGACAAACATACATTTTACATGAAATGAAAAACTGCTTGTAACAGCAGCGGTGAAAACACTTACTGGTATTCTGATTTTTGGGATGACTAATTATAAATCTATAAAGTGCAATAGTTGTTGTGTATTTGTACAAAGGATTCATACTCCTTGATTTTTCCCCCATTTATCACACCAAGTTCAATATGCTTCATTGAAATTTTGTGTTTGTAACATGATAAAACATAAAAAAACAACAACAAAAAACTTTCCAGTGGTGTACATACAATTGACATTGTAGGATATAAGTTATTACCAGGACTTTAATTTGTGAAGATAAAGAGGGGGAAGTCTTACAGTGCCTGTGGATCAAAGTATTTTTTATCTCTTAAACTTTTTCCACAAATTTTCTGATTATTATCAGAAACCTTAATGCACTTCTTTAGTATTTTAAGCAAAATATGGTATAACAAAAGCAAAAAGAGACATTTCTTTTTCATTTTCTAGAATCAAATTTTGAAAAGCATATTTTGTACTTCTATTCTGACCCTGGAGTCACCTTTCATTGTAAGCACAGCTGCAACTCCTTTAAGATGTGTTTCTACCAGCACTGCACATGTTGATATTGCAATTTAACCCATTATTCTTTAAGTATATCACTTGTATGTAGATATGCTTAAGTTAGATCATTCTAACTCAGTGCAATGCTCAGCAGTGCAGTGTAAGTTTTCCATGAAGCCCAAAAAGTTTAGTTTTGATCTCATCTGATCACAACACCTTTTTCTACTAATTTACTTTGTCCCCTGCATGACTTGACCAATAGTCTTGACTCTTTGCAGCTTCTTTGATTCATACTTTCATTGGACATGTTCAAGTAGTTTTGAAGTTCCTCCATACTGTTTGTACTTCCTGTCATCGGACTGAGCAGAGCTCCACAAAGTATTTACAAATGAGATAACTTCTGAGGGCAGTTGGTATAAAGCAAAAGAGAAAAAAAAGGTCAAAAAATCAGAACATAATGCTCACATGCCTTTAATCACAAAAAGAAAAATACAACAGGAAAATATTTTTTTGTCCTTTATCCAAAGAATACATTCATTCGGTCCTGAAATTTTCTTTCTAAAAAGAAATAATGAATGACATATTCTATACTAACATTACTTAACTGAGCTCCAACAATGAATAAGTATCGTTTTAGCACTTTCAGCCTTTGTACAGTAAACTTACATTAATTTCTTAGACTGTGTTGAGTGCTCTGCAGTACAAAATATTTTAACCGCTTTCTGGCAAGGTCTTTAAACTTACATAAAACATTATTTGGATTATTTATAATAGATCCTGCTGGGAGGAAAATACTTTTTAATCTAAATCAGGCAGTTGTTTGAATAATTTTGAGTATTGCATTAGCCAATTACATAAAATCTCTTCAAAGTTTATGACTAAAATGTGACCAAATCTAAACAAATAATCGCTTTAAGAAAACTTTGAATTATGGAATTTTTAAGTGGCTTGGTTTCAGAACTGTCTTTACAGGCCAGTGTGAAAACCAGTTGCAACAAAGTATCCAGAAGAAAATCCTACAATTATGTGCAGATTTACAGCATTCAATGTTCATCAGCAGCAAAAAGGTTTTTTTAACACAATATTTAGGTGAATTGATTTATCTTCGAGTAAATTCAACAAAAACAATACAGAAAGATTTTAAAAAAAAAGGCCGGTGTTCCTGCTTTGACTCCTGACTGAATCTTTTATAAGTTGACTATCTTACCAGCTCATGTAGGTTAAACTTCAAGACCTGATTAATAACAACGCTCTTCTTTGTTATTGCTTTCAATTGGACTTGGAGGCAAGAAGACTATTATACCTCAAAGCAGAATATTACCACACGTCTTTCTGTTTTGATTTTTATTTAATTGGTTTTAGTAATGTTACATAGACGAAAATGTTCAGAGTTCTTCTTCTACCACTGACTATATAAATATCCAGGTGCCAAAGGTTATAAATGAAGCAAAACAACTTGTGTTTGGCATTCCCCTAGCACTGCTCTGTAGATGATCTTCATCATCACAAATCTTGTGATCTTTTTCAAATGGAATCCATGATTAGATCTCTAAAAATATTTAAAAAGTGTTTCCAGTAATGATCAAATTGACCAAAATAACATTTGGTTTCACTTGAGAAGAAATAATAAAAGGCTAATAAAAAATAATTGTCTGTGCTACATCACATTTGAAATATTGATCACAAAATAATTACTTTTAAAGTTGTTCACTGTGTTGGAAACTTGAATTTACTGAACTCCCCCCTTGATGACTTTGTGTTTTTGTGTTTTGTTATTATATATTTCTTCAACACTAGCAGTGGCACTAGACTGTTTTGTGGTATGAAGATGATGTTTTAATTGAAACTTTTGGGGTGAGCCAGTGGAAAAAATACAAATTTCTTGACCAGGTGAATGCAATACTAACAAGACTGCAATGTACAAATCTGCTCAGAAAAAACCCCCTCAACACTCAGTTCTGGAAATAAGTTGGCAAAGTCTGGGGATTTTCTGAGCAATGATCAGACAATTACAAAAGATGTGTTTGACAGAAAAACAACCCAGCAGGGCAACAAATTACCTCCAAATCTAAAATAAAACATGACATTACCATAACCGGGTTTTACTTTCTTTTATAAGGAACTTGAAATTTATTGAAATACATCCAGAGCAACAACATGATGTCTTCACCAGAATAAAATTAAAGTTTTGTATGACCTTACCATATGAGAATCAATATCTAAATTTTGTTTAAAAAATCTGTGACTAAAGAGGGAAGTGGAAAAATCTCACAATCTGATAAATTTGGAAAACAGTTGAAAAGTAAGGAAGCTAAATGTTGGCATGAGATAATGCAGGATAATTGCAAAAGATTCAATTTCTTCACAAAAAACAAACAAAAAAGCAGCCTTTTAGAAAAGGAACCCTGGCAGTTTTTCACTTAAACGACACGTATTTATGGTAAAAGTCACAGTAACAACACAGCAGCTAAAAAAACTCCTAAGTCCTTTCAAAAGAAAAAGAAACTTAAAAGAAATGTAGAAAGCAACACTGTTTGAAATGTTAAGAGGCTTCTGCTCCTTGCCTTTCCCTTTATGTTTGAAAAAGCTACAATTCCTGTATTTGACTTGCATACTCGTTATGTCATTCCATCTCTATATCAGTAAAATGTGTTTGGAGGGTGGCAAGCCAGCCAGAAACACCTACAGAGCAGATGACAGGACGTTTTTGTGTGATTTTCCTTTGGATTGCTATACATTACATCCCAGCACTTCTAAAGGCCGTGCCTGCTTCCATCGTGTTTAATGTTTAAATCAGTCAGGTGCAATTCAAAGGCTTAGACAGCATTTGGGTCTTGCTGTCTTTTGACTTTATGCATGATGATTGGGTGTAAAAGGACATGACATTCTCCTTTCAGAATAAAAACTTCCATGCTTGACAGTTTTTAAACTCATGCCTTTCTTCTGCATTTCAACTGAATTGTTATTCTAGCAGCTGTAATTGACAATTACTGCTTAGACAATTAATGAAAAATTAATAATCAAAATGAAGCTGTCATGGAAGTTCAGAAAGAAATAGACTCTTTAGTGTAAATGTGAGAATTTGCCAGGAACTGATTGATGTTTTTGAAAACCCACATATTATTTTAAAACTAAATCCCACTCTGGTGAAAAAGCGCAGATGTCAGAACATAGCTTACAAAAAAAAAAATTAAAATCCAGTTTTTCTATTTATATATGCAACAAATTAAAAAAAATGAACCAAAAATGAAAGAAGGGTAAATATTCCTGATAATAATGATTAAATAAAATTTAATGCAGAATTGTATGACCAAAGTGCATTTATCTGTAGAATGTCTGCCTGACCCATATGAACATTTACCTTGATCGTTCCACTGCATGCAGCCTTTTCAATGGCAGGACATGTCGCAGTCCTAATTAAAAGTACACCTGTGGCTTCCTGCCCCCAGTGGGATACCCTCCCTGTCTCTGTGCTTCAATATACCAGAACAATGCCCAGTTTGTCTGAGTGCCAGTCGACAAAGGGCTTAATTTGCACTTACATGTTTGCATGTGAGGGATTTTTGGCTGGGAGGACACACTGGTCTATGACTAGTGCAAAAAAAAAAAAAGAAAAAAAATGATACAGGATGTTTGATGTCATTTGAAAATGGGACATGAAAGACCTAACTTCTGGGTCTTTCATGTCCTAAAAAATGGGACTTGCCCACATGAGGAAACTGTTGTCTCAACTTCAATGTCAAAGACTCAGAGGTCTGCAGAATAAAATCATGCTAAAGAGAGAAGAGTTTAGCACTGTTTTATCAATCAGTCATGAGAGAATTTTCAACAATGAGTTCATTTAGGGGGATAATCTGGAGGTCTGTCTTATGAGCACATCTACTGGAGCAAACATTAGAAAGACAAAATAAAGAAATGAGTCTGTTTTCAGTTTTACCAACAAGTCAAAGACTGCAAAGAACTTTGCAGTCTTTGCCTGCAAAGACAATGTTTTTGCAGGTTACTTGTCAATATTACATTGACAAGTAACATTGTCAATGTTACTTGTAACATTGATCGAAGTAACAAAAATCTTTGGCTAACTTTATTTAAAAAAAAAAGAAAGTGAAAGAAAATCAGATTATGATGACATCCTCCAAACACCAGAAATCATTATGTATATTTTTATTGCTTTATTGCATGAAAACATGCACTAAAATCTGAATATTGTTCACCTTATATGTATTTGTTGTGACAAATCCTACCCCCAAAATTATATAAAAAATACATTGGAAGTCAAATATTGTCAGCATATTTGATCGGTTCCAAATTCAGCTTTAGAAATGCAAATGTTTTAAGAAGATGCAAACATCATTTGGCTTTTCACATAAAGGGTAAACCACAAAAAGACACTGCTTAAGAGCTGGTTGTTTCCAGTGTTCAATCAGAGTAATTGAAAGCTCAGGGGAAGAAATGAAGTCTTAGACACTAAGAGAATCTTTACATTAAATCCTGAATCATCCAGACGTTTTACCCAAAATGAAGAAAAAAAAAGACCCATACGCTTCGACTTGATAGGATGCAAATGTGTGCATTTGCCCGAGGCTTCAGGGAGAAAGTAATTAAGTAAAGGTCCCTTTGTCTTCGGAAGGTTTTTTTTAATTCATTTCATCGTTGGATAAGAGGACTATCTGTCAAGAGGAAAGCTTTCATGTACCATAGTGTGTGTTGATTTTTTCTAATCTATTGTTCTTCCAGACATTTTCCTCAAAAGTTTTCCGGTGCAACCAGGAGAGCTGAAGGACAAACTGTTCATTATTAATGAGGAAGATGGAGGTCTGTCTGATGAGCACATCACCTCTCTGAGAAGGTATGACTTTGTGCCAGAAAAAGTGCTAATTTGTATTCCAACCCTAGTTTTCTGCATAATAAGCAAAAGTTGAGAGTCAAATGACATTTGGTGCCCTAGTCTTAGTGTGTTTGATACTTGCTTGAGTGGGTGTAAACAAAACTAGCAGCTCAACAAACACCCAAGAAGGTAAGCAGGTGTGAGATATCCAGGATGATGTGAAACATATAGAACCAGAACCAGATGATGCTGTGCAGGAGACACAGTTTACACAGCAGCCTTCACAATCTTCTAATTCTAAAAATAAGCTTTTATCAGAGTGGCTTACTACTAAAAGTTTTATTTCTGGTTATTTGCGGAGATGGAAACTATTGACTTGCCCCCAGGAGTAAGGCACTGAAAGGAGGTAGAACACTTCCTGGCTCTTACCTGCAGTTTACTCCATAGCTTGGGAAGGTTTCCTCCTGGAAGGCAAAAGTGATCTAAGGTACTCTCCTATGGTGCTTTTTATTTATTCTATCAAAACGTAATATATATTTTAATGCTCTCTGGCATAGGCTCGAGGAAAGAACCACTCCCAACAGGTGCTGCAATATTAATGGACACTGCTGTTCTCCAGCGGCACGGCGGAAGACTTTTCTCGTTGAGAAGAGAATCCCTCTAGTTTTGGGGTCAGAACGTTCAGAAACGACAGGAGAATGAACTCCAAATGAGAATTCAGATTCAGTGAGATGGCAGCTCCAATCAGTGTCTTGCTGCTTTATAGAAGCTGTCAAAAACCATCAACCCAACTTGGTTCTGAAACATTCCTCAAGGCCGTTGTAATAAATCAAAATCAAATCAAATTTTATTTGTATAGCACATTTCTGCAGCAAGGAATTTCAAAATGCTTTACATCATTACAAACACAGAAACACAAAGTCATCAAAATTGTCCCTCACAGATTTTTGTGCAATGTTTTGGTACCTGTTAGGGTCTAGAATTTACAGGGTTTCTGTTTCACACAATCACCCCTTGAGGGCACTTTATGTGCAAAGAAAATAACTTGATGTGTTTTCAAGATTTGTTTCATATCCACATTGAAAAATGTTTGTTTTTATTTTCAAGGTACGTCCCCACTTTGGAGGATGTGGAGATGTATAAATCCCACAAAGGTCCAGTTTCAGAGCTGCATATTGTGGACCAGTACATGATGGAGGTACAGTTTACTGTTTTACAGATGTGGGGACTAAAAGAAAGTAAACATGTTTTGACTCGTATTTCTCAGTAAATATCTTAGGCCACAAATCAAGTTTTGTGCAATAAAATGGAGTGACAAATGAAGAAATATTGAACACATGACAAAAACAAGAACTGAAAAGGAATGAAAATCACAGAGCTCTGCCAACATTTGGAAAGCAATCCTGCTTTCTGTCAATGCAATTGAATTAATCAGTTGATCTAGTTCTAATTGACAGTCCATAGCAAGCCTTCTCATCTGCAAAGAATCACAAAACAAGCATAGTTAGGCATAGTTAGGAAAGAACTCTATTAAGATCTTCAAAACCTTATCGTTTAAAATATACTGGCTAAAACATTGATTGTAAACTTTTGGCTGTTCATGCAAGCCTTTTATGGCCACAATATGGAAGGAGAAACAATCTAATTTCATTACAAACCAGGTCACAACAAGATGCTCGTCACAGCATTTTTGACTGAGGAGCAAAACCCTGATCAGACAAAGGTCACTTACAAAGAAACCTGAAAATATCAGGTGCAGTTGTTTCAAATAAACAAAAACACATTCAAGTGCTGAATGTCATGACTTCTATTTATACTCATTTCAAAAGACTCTGCCAATGAAGTTTGTTCAAGGTTTAATTTATTCTGATCAATCTAAAAACATCTAAGTGCACAGAAGAGGCAACATGTATCCTCATGTATCCTCATCCTCAAACACCTTCATGATCCAAGCAAACATATAAATGTTGATGTTAAGCAATCCATGCAACTTTTCTATTTGGTAGGGGTCTACGGCTATGTTTGATGTTTTTCATTGATCCATTTCAATTCCCTATATTCCACTAGATGAATTCATTGACATATGATAGCATGTCTTTGTTTTGCTTTATCTGAGGGCATTCTGACATTGATTGTGGTTTTCATATCTGCAGCCCAATTCTGTAAAATTTACATATTGAGGAAAAGTGTTAATGTGTCATAACCTGTTACCCCCATTTATTTAATATTTACTCATGTTGAGTAAAGATGCAAACTTGTTACAGAAACTTGAAAAAGTTAATTCCCAAAACGTTCTTATTGTAACACGGCAGAGCTAACCAGGACGCCACTTTTCTGCCTTACTTAGTATTATAATTACCATAATTAAGGCAGCTAGCGTTTTCTGCAGAAACACTTTTTGAATCTGTTCACCTTCCTCCTCATTCACACAGTGGGTGTTATGACAAGCTCCATTTGGAAATCATATTCCAGGAAAGCAGATCACCTGGACTGCATGCGGAAGATTAGTGGAGAGATAGCAGATGATAAAGCTGCTGAGAAATATCCGGCACCTGACATAAGGGCTGTCAAATGCAGAAAACAGGTTTAGTCCTTATAGAGATCTGTTGTCGATTGGAGTGGAAGTCCAATTGGGTACATATAGTTTAGTTCTCATGATTTATAAACTGTTTTTTTTTTGTTAGTTCCATGACAGAAAAACATTTTTAAAAGAGGTAGGGCAGCAATTGCAACAATAGAGGGAAACGATGAAGTGGGAAATTGCCTTAAAATGGAGAACTTTGAACCAGCTTGTTTGAATTTGTGCCAAAGTTTGCTGGGAACAGATCAGTTCTGTACTTGCCCCTTTCTACTCTATTAACCAATCCTTTGTAATGTGTGCAGTACAGAGGTTTAAGTTTCTTTTTTAGAAAAGTGCATCTACATCTCAAGAAGGAGATGACATCTGAAATCACAAGAAGCTGTTGTAAAACCGCTCATGAAATTTTCTGCTTTAGTGTTCACTTTTATAAGAACATCAGCAATTTAAGAAGAGTCTGGCTAAAAACAGTTCATTTCTGTATTTGGTGACAGCCTGGAACTTCCCTTCTTATCTTCTTTTGAAAATAAACACAGAATTTGCTTTTGTACCAAATCATGACCACAACCTGATCTATTTACAATGCCTCTTGAAGGTAAATCCCAGCAGAGTATTTCAATGTACTCTGCTGGGATTTATATGACAAAATATACACAGTTGTACACAAATGAACTCTGTTTACTAATAAAGCCACTTCTGAAGGCATCTGCTTGAAATTAGGGGTATCATAGTTAAGGGGATGCAAACACCAACTAAGCTTTACTTTGTTTTGGTCTATCACATAAAATCACAACTAAAACACATTATCAGTCAGCCTTCTCAATCACATTGAGTAGAACAGATTCATGTAATACTGTGAACAACTATAAAATTTCACATTAAATTAACTTTTGTTTTATTAAGTGCAAATGTTATTAAATATATTAAACTTAAATGTGGAATTTGTTTCAAACATGTTGACTAAGTTGCGTGTGGAACTTCAAAAGAAAAAGCAATTATTTGGTCTGTGCAACGTATTTGTATGTAAAGAACAAAAATGTCACATTTACAGTCCTAACATTAAATCTTCACAAAACGTTCAGTGTTTGGGTATGTCCCCAGTTAAACTCCACTTTGCACACATTGCAAAGGACTTGTTATCTTTATAAAATATTAAATGTCAGGAATTTCAATGAAGAAAATCTTTGTGATTTATATTGTACTGGATCATAAAATCTGGCAGCTGGAATGTTTCCACAGTCTGATTGAAAAACTATGTTTGCTTTCACTATCTGCCAAACAAAAACATATTATTTTTGGGGGGCTTTCACCACAGAGTATGAAAAATAGTACATGAAAACTTTTTCCTTATTTCTTGCTCAAATGCATCCTCATCCAGCAGAGAAATAATCTGCATAGTTTTAGCCCTAATGGAAATTGTGCTGTTATCACAATTTTTCCTAAATATTTCTGCATCACGTTATCAGGTATATAATTGGAATTGTTTCATTGCATAATTGCCCTATGCCACACTGTGTGTGTGATGCAGTGACATTAAAATGCGTGTAAATTAAGTGTATAGCAATTGTTAACAACTTTATGCTGTTATAATTGAATCTGACAAAACAAGACCTCAGAAAAAGTTAAACACCTAAAGGTGTGATTTCCCTACAGAATGTTTCTCATGTGTGAACGTGTTTAAATTCTGCAGATGTTTAATATGTAGCAGCTATCTTTACAGTTATCATGAAAAGTAATTAGACCTTATTACAAGTAGAATATTTAACATATCACAAAATGATAAAACTTTGATCCTAAGCAAAATAAACAAACAACAAACAAACAAACAAACAAATAAATAAATAAATAAATAAATCTCTTTATTGAATTCCCACTTAGGCTGAGCCATTGTCCAGTCAAAGTTCAAATGAGCCAATCGAAGTAGATTCTTCGTTTTCTACTATTCCTTTGTAGGTTTGCTGCTGAATGGCTTATTGACCCAATTTGAATAATGTTTTTTCCGTTTGGCTGAAAGATGTATAGGTTCACTGACTACAAAAGAAGCCCAAATTATCACTCCTCCACTACCGTGGCTGACAAAAATGGTGCTGTTCATTTTGAGCCAACATCAATATGCAGCGTGGACAAATTAGCCCTGTGATGGATTAGCAGTCCATCACAGGGCTAACCAGAGATGGAGATTAAATGTAAATAACAAAAAACACACACACTGAGGCATAAAACTCGATTATTTTAAAAGGTTGTTATTTGTTTTCTCAGACTGCACATTATTCAAATCAGGAATATCAAATGTTTTAAAAAGCATAGCATGAGCAAATAATGCTACTTCTGTATGAGGAGGAATTCACCCTTCAATATAACTACAAAAAATAAAAAAAATCCAGATGATTACATGGTTGGGATTTCCAGCTCTAATCCTAATGTCTTTCCGTAAGTATCTGTCAGACAAACTGCCCTTTGGCTTTGGGGAGATGATATGTGAGCATCAAGCAGACGGTCTGACAATGTGGAGTGATTTATTAGAGGTTAGGTCAGACACAAAGGTCAAACCGGCGGTCCAGTCAATCGTTTCAAAGTGTCAAGCTTTCAGTTTGTCTGTTAAATCAGCCTGTCAACAGACCTGGTGCACAGCAGGAATGGGCTGAAAAAGCATGTGTAAATTGCATCAGCAGCTGCTTTAGATCATTTGGAATAATCACATGGAAATGGGTTGTCTGATGGTATGATAATTGGACTCTTCCCCATGCACTCATTAGTCTTACGTTTTTTCTCTGCTGCAGATGTGCAACATCTCCTACGTGAGCACGCAACTCGACCTGCTTTTGACGCTGAGAGAGCTCCCGATCAGCATGAAAGACCTGCAGCCTGTGAGTTCACTTCATCATCCAGAGTCAAATCTTTAACTACTGTAAATCCCATTTCCTCATTCCTTGACAGCTAATTCAGGTAGTGTTTAAAATATCCTATTGCATGCTGTCAGAAGGCTGATTTCCACTACATAGACAAATAAACATGCTGGTATGCGTTGATTTGTGGTATGAATTCTGCAGCAGATGTAGAAATGTATTATTTTACATGGTTGTTGAAGAACAAAAAACATAAAGCCAAGAGTATTTTAATGATAAAAAATTTTTTCAGTCAATTTACATTTTCAATAATGTGTTGAAAGCAATCTAACACAAGATATTTGAATATTGTGGGAAAGTTAAATTATTTCAGTAATTCAATAAAAAAAATCTAATAAATTACATAGACTCATTACATACAGAATTATGGATTTCAATTATTTTTTGTGAATTTTGATGATTGCATTTCCAGCTAATAAAAACCCAGCATTCAGCTTCTTGAAGAATGTGAACATATGACATGTATTTGGAAGATGATGGCCGTGGCATGTTTTGTAAGGATTTTTTAATGCTGATTAGTAATAATTAATAGAGAAACATTGACAAGCTATGTCAAATATTATTATACATAAGTCAGTTTCGTCATCTATCAAAGGAAAGTCTGAAGGATCAAATGTTTCCTTCAAATTAAATTATTTCTCACAAATGAAAAAAGCAAACTGCTCTATAGTTCTCATTATCAAGATTTAATTCAGCCTCAATTAATGATAATTACACTTCAGTTAAAATGGAGAAAACAACCAGACCTTCTAATCAAGATAATCAAGACTTAAATGTATTTTAATCAAATTAATGCTGATGATAGTTTATTTCTGTAGGAAATAAATGAAGATAAAACAAATGCATTCAGTCTTTCGTCCAAAACGGAAAGAAGTGAATGTCTAAAATACATTAAAATTGATTAAAAATATAACTTTTATCAACTTTTGCAGTATTATGTTGATTTGATTCCCCCTGCATAATTTACTTCATATCTTCCTATTATTTTTTTCAGACCTTTGTTTTATTAAGCTACTAGTAGCCATTATTGAAACAAAAGTCTACAACAAGAAAGAAACATCTGAAATGATGCATTCAGAATACGTTAGCTGGAGAAGTATTAACATTTGAGAATAGATTTGTAAATCTTACCCATTCATAAACACAAATCTGTTTTTATGAGCTAGATTCCTCTTTCTGTTTGGCCCTTTCTTGCAACACCAGTTTCTAAGGAAGAAATGTTTGGGAGACGGATAAAAATGAGGTGAAACAAGACTCAGCTTTAAAGGTAAAACAAGCAGGAGATGCTTTATATTCTGATCTGCATCGCAGCTGCAGGTGATTATTAAAACATCTTTCTCCTCTGCAAAAACACCCACCCACACAAAGATCCTTTATTCCCTAATGCAAACCTTAATTATGACTTTATAAATGGATACAAGTAAAAAAAAAAAAAAAAAAAAAAAAAACATCTGTGGAGCAGTTGAAATTATTACATGAAAGCTTTTCTCCTAACTTTGTCTTTTATGTTTAAGGGGTCATTTAAGAATATGTTTTTGTTCTGTTCACTGGTTAATAGTCTTGAAAATAGAAAGGTATGAGGGGCACTTTCAGACACTTCTGTGATCAAAAAGAAAAGATAGATCTTAATCAAATCAGGTTCAATTGTTCTGTGGTTGGCAGAAAAGTGCTTTAAACTCAATAAAAACCCACTCTGGAGTTTTAACTGTGGGAAAAGTGGAAACTTTTACTTTTGTCTGCAAACTGCTGCTGCCTGGTCAAGTGAAGACTTAAATTAATCCAGGCAGAGTGAAATAAAGTCACAACTCAAACATATTTCTTAATATTCTTTAAAACAAAATATTTTAGCCCTGTTCAATAGGAGTAAATGGACATTCCCAGTTTATCATTAGTCAAAGTAATCTTTAACATTCTCATAGTGGGTTGTTGTTATTGGCATTGGGGTCCGCAGGCTGTGAAAATATTGCAGTCACACAAAAATACCTCCCAGCTCCTGCGTTTTTATTTTTTTATTTGATTCTCAAAAGCTTTTGTTTCTTTCTGCTCTGCTGATTCAGTCCTAATCTCCTGTCTGCTAACCACCTGAAAATGAAGAGAAACAGCAGATAAGAGTGATGGCACTGTGATCCATTCACTGCAATACTAATTTTTCTTTGTCTTACACACAGAGACAAACATATTGTGTGCCTGGAAGATGACTAGAGAAGAAAGATTAGCAATTTCATTAAGTTTCAATTTACTCCTGGCTCTTTCCTCCTGTTGTTGTTTTCTCTCTCCTCCCTCAGATTTGTTTGAGAAAGGTCACTCAATCTTAAGTATGGGATTTGCATGCATGTGCTTTGGGGAAAAATAACCCTGATCCTTAATCTTCAACATTTTCCTCTATGTTGTGCTCAAAGTTTAGTGTCCTATTAGCTGCAAAATATTCTAAATCCCTGAATCCTCGTCGATTGACGTCCATAAGCCTGAACACTAAGATGATTTACATTCCACCTGTCAGAGAGAGAACAGAGTCGCCAACCAGGGGAATGCTTCTCACCTGGGACGTTTTTTTCCCTTGTTTCCAGGATGACAGGTTTTACTCTGTGTTGTGGCCCTAACTCCTTCTTTAAACTATTTGATGTGCCCAGTTTGATGCCGAATGTATTAGAAAATGTCAAAGGCACACAGCTTAAGCTGATGATGCAGCAGACAGTAAGGTGTCACCTGAAGCTGTGATGCACGGCATGGCAAAACTAAGTGCAACATTTCAGGAAATGAATGGAGAAATGTATTCATTTCTCCATTCAAGAGCAAAGCTTGAGCACCTATATTTGTTTTTATGTTAAGTGAAATCACAAAGATTCAAATTAAGCAGTTCATTTACAGTAAGTATGAATATTTATGTGAATTTAAAGCAACACTACTGATGATGTTTTTTACCCATTGAAATAAAATGCTATAAAGACGAGCATCTCGATCTCTCTCCCTTATAAAAATATAAAATGTAACAGCAGTTGCCATGTTAAAAAATAAAAACTTTTTTCTTTACATTTTATTTAAAATGACTCCTCAAAAATTATTGAATTCCCTCCCTAATAATCAATGTAAATATTATTTTTGACATTACAACAGTCAGACTCTTTGTATCACTATCGACTGGCATTTGTATCACTATCGACTGGCATTTTTTAAAATGTTTCCACTATTATTTTGATGAGTTATAATTGGTGACGAGGTCTATGTCTCTGGGATTGGAAGGCCTCTTTCCCATTACCCTAAGCTTTAACAATGGATTTACACAGATGGTTGTGTTCCAGCCAATTTATATGTTGAAGCTGGATATCTGATTTCCCCTCAGTTTAATTGAGACTGTCCCAACTGTAGACATAGGGAGGTTACTCTTGAAATAGAAACATATGGCACGATTGTTGCTGGCTGGCATGGGCCTGAGTTGGAAAAAAAAAAAAAGTTTTTCGAGTGGCATAATTCCCACAACACCAACTCCCCTTTCCTCTCATAAATCATTGGCAAAACCCAAAATCCCACTTTGATTTCTCTCCAGCATGATTTCTATCCATATTCAACAGGATCTGTTCAGAGATGGTTAAACATGGAAATTGTGTGATATTCTTGGGGGATATGTGGACTTGACACAAATGCATACCAAATAATAATCTTACCCAACAACAGGAAGCTGATTATTCATTTTATGAGATCAATTGAGGTGCTGTGATGAGGCTGTTTATGCTTGTAGTGTAATGATTTTTGTTAACTGTATTTCCATTGACTACATAACTGCACAGTTTGATATATTGAAAATGCATTTGTTTAATGGAAAAAAGAACTTGTCTTTGGATAAATTGTTGTGGTGCTAAGATAACGTGATTTTGTAACAGAATTTCTAACAGAAACACAACTACTGTACACAACTACATGAGTGAGACATAGGAGCTTGAATTACATGAATGACTTTAGTCTGTGTTCCTTGTGTTTGTCTTGCAGCTGATTAACCAGAAGATCAGAATGTGCAAGCAGCTGTGCAACTCCAGGTCGTTTGTTTCTGTGTTGGAGTACCTTCTCACTATAGGCAATTACTTGAATGAGAACGCCGGAAAGGAAAAGGCCAAGGGATTCCGCCTCTCGTCCTTAACCAAAGTACGATTCCAACACTCTCGTCTGACCTTTGATTGAGGTTCGCCTCTGCCTAATAACTCTGCTCATTGACATACACAGCCTGGTCCCTGAGCATCTTGCCATTTTCTCTTGGCCAGGTAGGTTCAATCAGAGCTGTGAATGTGTCGCTGCCTGGTTGGCACTAAATGAGAACTCCATGAGAACTAAATGAGAACTGAGTGGCTTGGTGCATAAGATCATAGAGCAGAGCCAGTGGATCTTTACATCAAGTAAAAATTTATTTACTTGGACTGGATTAAAAAGGTTATGGTTATTACATCATGGTTTCACATTTGCACCAAGAAACCTTTATGTGGTATTCTTACTTCCTGGATTTATCAAAGTATGTGGATAAATGTTTCTGAAACATAAAAAAAAAGTTACAAAAAGAAAAGAAATCTGATCTTTAACCACTATCCCAATTTTAAGAGAGACCTTGAGCTCCACTACAGTTGCTCTGAAAACCTTTTTATAGTGTTTTCCAACATCCTGAGTTTTAGGCTGTTTTAAAGTTTGTTAATAGAGAAATTAAAAGGTGAAAAGAGAAGAAATATTCAGATGTTCAAGAAAAAGGTCAAACGCATCCAAAATATGTTAAGAACAAATCTCAGTGGAAGTCACTTTTTTTATTTGCACTGAGACCTTCTTAGTTTGTCACATCAAGGAATGGTCGATTACCTGAGAAACAATCAGCTTAATTGTATTTTAAGTTTGATTTAGTTAATTTATACGCATTTTTTCTCCATGAAAACGTGATGCCGGTGTTCTTTTTATTTAATTCCTCTGCATTTAACTTGGTCTGCTCTTTGGAGTTTGACTCTCTGCTGGGGGAGTTTGAGGACCAGGGTTCTGGGCACAGAAGTAAAGCATCCTCGGCTCTGTTTAATAAAGCAGAGACCTTGTGTTCCCTCAGAGGAGTTTCCAGGTCTAATTGAGAAGAGTAAACTGTTGCTGCTAAAGACAGACTCTCTTCAAATTAATGACCAGCCGCTTTCAAGAAAATGCATCGAGGTTATCTCAGATCTTTTTTTCTTTTCTTTTCTTGTGAGCATCAATACTTGCTGCAGGTGTTGCATATGTAGCCCTTAGAGGCCTAAGCTGGTAAACAACATAACCTAGAAAGAAAAAAGGACGAAGTTTGTTAAAGGATAAGGGAGCTACCTTTGGAATTTCAATTATCTGCCAAACCAACATGGTTGAATTTGTATCATCGCTATTATTTTATCAGACTTATTACCATTAATTTGAAAAAAAATTGTAGAATTTCACAATCATCTTTTTGTTTAATTATTATATGATTCACATCAAATTTGGTTCTTATTTATCAATATTAGGACATTATGACATCTGTTTTGTTACAGTTACTGGCAAATATGTGTATAACATGTTCTTTCATGACAAAGAACATGTTATACACATGTATCAGCATACTCTCACACAACATTTTTCACAAATGTAACCTTTAAGTACGAAGGTTATTTATTATGAGTATTCACATATTCATAATTTCTGTTGCCTCAAACATCTACATTTCTTTTTTAACTTGATGTGAAATTAACTGTTCAGGAAATGAACAGTTCTTTAGTAGACATTTTAGAATTTTTTTATAGATCAACTGACATTTGCCTTTCTGATATGACATGTTCTCTTGTTTTAATTGTGATTAAGAAAAATTGGCCTCTTTTTCTTTTTACATCACATTAAAACACCGGGGAGACATGAACTCATTAATTGTAAAGTAAAAGTTCTGAAACACTAATCAAATTAAAGCAAAGTTTAAATGAGGAAAGATAGTTACAGATACGTTTTTGGATAAAAGTTGCAAATGTGAATAAATGTGCCTCCAGAACAAATGTTCTCTAATGTTGGATTTTTTTCCATACTAAATAAAGGCACTTAAAACGAGGTGGAATTTTTCTTAATTATTTCAGTGTGAGCACAATATAACACAGTGCTGCATGTGTTTATATGGGTACCTTGTGTCTCACCATCATCTTCCAATCCACTCATATCTTAAAGCATTTTATTTCAACATAGTTCTCAAAACAACACATTCTTAGAACAGTATAATGATATTAACACACTGGCAAATCTACAAAGAAATCAGCATTTTACCCTATAATATTTTCCACTGATTGATAATTATGCAATATATTGTATATATATATTGTTGTTGGTCCCAGCTTCTGATGGGGAATTTATTTAATTATTCCACAGATGAATATTGCATTGGTTATACTTGTATCTATATTTAAATATATTTTTGAATGTAACAGCTATTTTACTTTCTGTGGTAGTCGATTGCCCTCTAATCAAATATTTGCTTTTAAGTGTTTGTAAATGCAGTGGAATGTGCCTATCTTTTTCAATACACTGTAAATGCACACAAGAAAATAAATAAGGCAAATTATTACAGAAACAAAAAACAAATATATAACCTTTAGTCAGCCGGTGTGTTTTCCAAGCTTCAGTCGGCTTTTTCTTTATCTCCAGCTTTCTCAGCTGCGTGGGAGGGACAAGAATTTCACCTTGCTTCATGCCCTTCTGGAGCAGATCATGTTGCAGGAACCGGGCCTGGCCACTTTTACCCAGGACTTGGCAGAATTTGAAACTGTCCCTGGAGGTATTCGCTCGTCAAGATTTGATCAAAACAGCAGAAGAAAAAAATCTGTGGGGTTCTTTTGAGTTAAGGGCTGTTAAATGAAACATACATTTATATTTAATACCACTGTGGGTTTTTTTCTCCCCCTCTCCTTTGGAAAGCTTCCATCAAAGGCTTGACCGCAGAAGTGGATGGTAAGTAGATCACATTTTACTACAATATCCAAAGTCTGGTGTTCACTATGCTGATCCTGCTGCAGGTGGAGTTGTGAGAAAGCATTGCATCTCTCATTGTATTTCAGTATATTTTGTGAAAACATTATGATGAGGTCTGAGCTGAGGCTGTTATGTTTTTACAGTGCTGAAGAACGAAGTGCAGAAAGTACTTCAATACAGAAAAACCATCAAGAAGAAAAACATTGCAGCTCATCACCCAAACTTCTCTAAAGATCTTAAGGTGAGGTAGACATGTCTTATCATTTCTAGTTACCTCTACAGTCAATAGGAAAATATCACCATTAATAAAAAACAAATCATTTTGGTGGACCATAATTTCTTAGAGCTGCACAATACATTAAATCTCACTTGTCTTTGCAATATCAATATTTTCAGTATCCCAATTTCTAAGAACTGTTTTGGTGCAGGATTTGTTAGGCCATTTTACATGTATAAGCATCTTGAAATTTTGCAGCTCTGTGGTTTTCCACATATTGTGCAGCCTCATCGACATCCTCTAAAATTGACAGGTACCAAGAAATTATAGATTATAATGACTTATTCAGAAAATAAGAGCACACTGCCTAGCATCTTCCAAGACAAATAAGCTGCAACAGATTTCAGTCTACAAGACATTTATGTATTTATTCTTTGGGGTGAACACAAGTTGAATTTTGTCACAAGCACAAGTTTATATGGCTCGGAAAGGCGACAGGAAGATTCTTGGTGAAACTTTAAAACTCCTTTAAATAATTTCTGCAGAGAGACAAAAACAAACTTGAGTATTACTGGCTGCTTCAGTCATGTGGCAGCAGACTAGACCTGCTGTCAGAAACTATACATCAGAAAAAACAAACATCTAATTCTGTTTCCATGTATTTTTGTGCTGAGCAAGCAGCTTTGGCAAAGCATCATGATATGATGTTGATTTGCATCTTTCTGCCCTGCATCTTATCTCTTATTCTGTACTTTTTCTTCCAGGTATAATTTGCAAGAATTTGTTTCTACTGTGTTAAATGCAAATAAATGGCTATGTAGTCCAAATAGCTCTGCCCTTTTTTATTATGACCATAGTTTGACATATTCAGAAATGGAACAAATAAATGTAAATGTAATGTTGGAGAAAATAAATTAATTTGAGTTCCTTTTTTGAATATGCTTGAGTTATTTCCACTTTTTCATATAATCTGAAAAAGAAGCCAATATGTAGTTTTTGAAGTTCTTGGCATTCTGTTCTAACATCTTTAAATCCTTGAATCTTTATTAGATTTTCAATTTTGCTAAATTTTCGCTTTTTAATCACATCAGTTTTACAACGCATAGAGTTGTGTGTGGTTTGCTCACAAACTCCTTGGGCTCTCCTCTGTATTGCAGATGGCAATAGAGAAGTACAACGTGCAACTCGAGTCGCTGACGAAGACTTGTGAGGAGATGAAGAAACTCTACTCTGTCATACTGGTAATCCCTGAGTTATTATTTCAATCTCTCTTTTGTACAGCTCCAAGGATGGATGCCCTGGGCGCCCCCCGTCCTGGTAGTGTCTAGATTGCCGTCTTCAATTATTTGTCACCTCATCTCCCTGATCCTATGCTGTCACAGCTGCATATAATTCAAAGGGGCAAAGGTTAAAGCACCAGATGTTCATAATGCATATTAAATGGTGTTTATTGTAACTGCATTTGTGTAACGTTAAATCTACAGTGCCTTGCAAAAGTATTCATGCCCCTTTGTCTTTTTCACATTTTGCCATGTTAGACTTCTGGTATTACAATGTGATCTTTTGTGAGTGATCAACATAAAGTAGGGAATGCATTTGCAACAGCCTCTTAGTACTTGAATCATTAGACCAAAGGAAACACTTGAATACTTTAAACGTTTTTTAGCTTTGGCTGGATGTTTAGGTTGGTTGTCCTACTTTAAACCTGCATCCCAGCTAATAGAAAGTTTTCTTCCAGCATAAACTGTTAGTTTGCTTCATCCTTCTTCCTATCAACTCTGACCAACTTCTGTGTCTCCACTGAAGAAAAGCACTTTCTTTGTCATTGTGACAGTATCTCCCTCATGGCTTGTGCCATGCTGCAAAAGGGACTTATATAGTTTTATTTTAACAATGGCTTTCCATTGTTACTTTTCATGAAGACCAGACTTATGGACTGGACAGCTCTCAATTTTTGCAGCTCCTCCAGAGTTACCATCAGCTTTTTGACTTGCTCTCAAATTAATGCTCTCCTCACCCAGTCTGCTGGGTTATAAAGGCAACCTTGTTTTTGTTGATTTGCAATTATACTATTCTTTTAATAACCTATCTTGGCTTTAAACTTCTTCACAACTTTGTCCCCAAATGTTCACTTGAGCACAGTAGCAAGTTGTCCTGCCCACTCTAAATATTGAAAAATTATTTTGAACATTTTTTTTTGTCATTTAATAAGAAGCCAGGAAGTTAAGCTAACCTAATACAGGTAATTTAAGGGAAAGAATTTTATGCATAAAATAAAAATTGGCTTGAATCAAAAATTGGTTCTGAATCAAATCATGACCCTAAAAATTGGAATCAAATCACCAGACACTAAAAGATTCAGATCTCTTTGTAAAAGCAGTGGGTTGCACTGAAGTTCATTTGAATGTGTTACAGTAAAAGAGGCTGATCACACGTTTCAAACTTTTTATACTATAGGTGTTTTAAGCCACTTCACATGTTGCTATAGATGTGTTTAGTGATTATTTCCAAAAAAGCCTCTATAGAGGTGTAAAGTATTTCTGACGTGAATCAGCCTCTAGAAACAATGAAATCTCATAAGTCTGTTTGTGGACCGCCATCTCCTCTGAACATTCATCTCAACAAGAAATCTCCCTTACAGCAAACTCCTCTGTCACATATATCAGATTTAGTGGAATCGCTGCTCCCTTTGTACTCTTTCATCACTCCTTCTTTTAAGATGAACATTTTGTTTGCTCACTAAACCGTCGCAATTAAGCTTCTACAGCTCAGTCCCATTTCTGACACCTTACCTGGTGCTATGGCTTTTTCTTATAAAGTTCCCACAAAAAACAATCAATACAAAAAGTGGCTGCAAGTTTCTCATCACTTTTGTATGTCTGAGGACAATCTGTCATCATAGAGTCCACTCACCCTTCCTGCTGTATTTGAACACTGAAAGATGATAGTGCAAGATGGAGCTTTAGGCCTGTGAGGGAATTGTGTTATTACACCCACTGAAAGTCTCCACTGCACTCCAAACAGTCACATAGACGTGGATGCAGAGGGACTGTCAGCATCTCTCTATATAGCTCTTTTTATCTGCTGATGGATGAGCTTATTTGGTGGCTTTCGAACAAAAAATTCTGAAACCTTTGCAAGTTCAAGAAATAGATCATTGGGCTCCAACATGCTTTTTAGAATTTAATCGTAAAAACCATGAGCACCTGGAAGTCTCAGTTCAACACAAAGACAGGAAATAGTTTGTAAACAACACATTTTTCTGACTTTATTGAGTTATGCATATTTTCCACAAAACTCAGGAAACTTGGGCAAAATCATCCTCTGATAATTTTTTGTGTTCAGATTGCTTCTAAATCAAGGTCTGGGTCTCTCAAACTATTAGTGTACCAGTGCCTTGAAACTACACCAGAAAAACAAAACAAAATAGATCGAAAAAAGCTGTTTGACTCCAGGACAACAGGTTTTTATATTTTCTTATTAGCCAAGAAAGTGTACAGCATATTGACTGTTTAGTTTAGCTTATTAGTTTCTCAAAAACAAAGACAACGTGCAAAAAAACATTAATGACAGATGCTTTGCACCAGATTTAGCATAAGCTAGTTTCCATCTGCAGTCCCTGAGCTAGCAAAACAGTCAAATATCATAAAAGATTCACTGAAAGTCTCCATATACCCTACATACAATCACTATACAAGGTCATAAAAATATGACATGATCAATACTTAATGCCAAACTTCTGCTCTGTAGTCATTAATGCAGAGAATTATTTTTCAATGTGAACACTGCTGGTTTTCTACAAACTGTTTTGAGACTTTACAAGAAAAGTCCTTCAAGTTAGCAGAAAGCTTAAGATTTTCTGGGAGTTTTTTTCCATTCAAAGGTATATGTTATATACCTTTGAACCTTTGTATATGTTATATACAAAGGTATATGTTATACCTTTGAATGACAAAGCTGCCTGTCAATTGCTGAGGAACATTTGCTGGAAAAAAAACCCCAGCCAAAACAGCAACAAAAAAATTGTATCCATATTTAGTGTTTGAGAGTTGGTAGACCTACTTACTGCCATGCATGTGGGTCAAACATGAGTTGTTGTGACTCTTTAATTAGATCAAATTAAAAGATATTTTGAAAAAATGTGCTTGAGGGTGAGGGCCAGTCTTAATAGAGTTAACAGCCAGTGCTCACTTTCTCTAACATGGAAGATCTGTTATGAGGACTTAATCGGTGTCATAAAGGTTCAATAGATTTTTCCAAGTTAAAGTAATCACAGAGCAAAGCTCAGAAACCACTCGGTGGATTTGGGTGCAAATATCACACTTCCTGAAAGCAAGCTTTCCGTTTTGGAAAGGTTAACAGGTTAATATTTGCATAAACTGAGTGAAGGTTAGATGAATTAAAAGCAGACTCCTTAGAGAGGTTCTGAGTTTGGAGGAAATGTAATTAGGCAAAAAAAGGGACTTAATAGAGAAAATGTATAATGCATTTCTCCACATTTAGTTTTTGTAGAGATTTGGGTTTCCTGTGTGTTTATTTAGGTTTCTGTGTTCTGTGGAGTCTCTGTGTTGTCCCGTTTATCCCTTGATTGAGTGTTCCCTGTTTCCCCTGATTGTCTCCCTGTGTATTTAAACCCACTTGTGTTCCTTGTTCTTTGTCGGGTCCTTGTCTAGCTGTGAGTAGTTGTCATGCCTGCTGTCAGTTTCCATTTTTACCAGTTGCTACCAGAGATTAGCTACTAGCCCTGCTCACTCTGTGCTGCCTGGATCTTCATTTATGCTCCATAATCTGGGTCTTCTGCGTCTACCATACCACTCAACTACTGCTCATCATGGCATCTTTGCCACAGGATTAGGATGATCATCAGGGATTTTTTAATTTAGTCATAACCCCAGTCATTTACAAAATATAGTTTTGAAATGATTTAATTTATCATTGAAAAATCTATTAAAACAAACTTTGTCTAGTGTTATTTTTGCTATAAAATAACAGTGAATAACCACATCCATTTTATGGACTGTCAATAGCTACAATCAGACCTGCATAATCAAGAAATAAAATTTAAAAGAAAAATCTGCCTGACAACATGACATAGCCCCAACAAAATCTGAAAAAGCAACACAAAGAAATTGTTAAATTAGAAAGCAAATGACAAAAATATGTAAATATCATTTTACAAAGACTTTTTAAAGGCTTTAGGAAAAGCGGTAAACCAAGGTGATCAGTGCTCAAACTTCACAGGTGTGGACGGTCACATATTTTTTAATTAAGACACCACAGGAGTACCTAACAAGGCTTTTCTTTTAAGCAATTTCAATGCTACTCCTGCTCAGCCACTTCATTCTTTTTCAAGATGGGCTCAGTAACATTTGAAGCAAGTTAATGATGTGAAAGAAAATCTACAGAGTGGCAGTTTCACAAAAGCCAAATTAACAACTTGAGCTCAGAGTAACACTCAGCAAGCTTGTAGAAAAAAAGGGGGGTAGCAGTTTGTAGCAGGCACCATCTTTACCTAATTTTTCTCACGTAATGCTTTTAACAGACCACTGAAGCCAGTTTGTAACATTTTAATCAAAAATCGGGTTTAATAAGTCTTGGCGTCTTTGTGTCTCCAGCTCTGATTTACTTAAGTTGCAAACTGTTGCTAAAAATGGCCAGTTTTGCTGTAATATAACCATCTCTGATTTTTTATTGACTTTTCTATACCTACGGATACATTAGCAGCTTGAGAAAGACTTTTATTATTATTATTGTTATTATTGTTATTATTATTATTATTATTATTATTATTATTATTATTATTATTATTATTATTTTAGTTATGGAAGATAGTGGTGGAACATTATTTGGCAAAGGCAGCTTTTCCATTGATGCATTTGAATGACAAGGTAGATATTCAATAGGAGTAGGAAAAAAATTATAAAGCGATTGCTGAAAAAAGTAGAACGTACAATGGATGAATGGTAACAAGATACTGTATTTTTTGTTTCCTTTACTCAAAACTTTTCACACTAAAATATAATATTAAGTGCTACATCAACATTATCTTGAATCTGTTTTCCCAGTGTTATTAGTAATGGAGCCACAATAGCTGTGACATTTAAAACGTTTAACACGTTGACCTTTAAGTGTAAAATTTTCCTCAGGGAAAGAGTTATAAGTTAATCACCAGGGAGAGTGGCCAAAATATGGCATTATACCTGCTGGTGTTTGAGCATCAGCATTTGCCACTGGAATCTTGTTATTTGAAAAGTGCTGTCTAATTTCTCATAGATCTTCATGCACCTGCCACTTTAACATTTGACTTTTGCTACTGTAGCAACCTAGGAGCTGATTTGTTTTCCCATTGGCCATTAGTATTCTGTTTCCTGTGTGCTAAAGTTGAGGATGAGGACAAGTCTAAAGCCCTGACTTGTGTGGAAAGCACCTTTTAGTTCAGAAAAAGAATAATCTGAAAAACTGTCACATTGCCCTTTTATAGTGAGCATAATAATAGTGGATATAGTCAACAGGGAGTTGGGGAAAAATAAACAACAACAACAACAAAAAATCTCAGAAATATATTTTTTAATTGGTTGTATTGACACTAAATGTGACATAAAATACATAATTGGATGCAATCTCCATAAAGTGTATTGCATTTTTTAGCAGATGAGCATAAGTTTGCAATCTTCTCTTTTCATTATCACATAAAGTAAATTAAGACAACCCAATTTAAATGAAATAAGGATATTGTGCCTCTTTATTCATTTCATAAAAATATGATATATTTTTTCTGGTATCCACAGACAACATGGTTGTAATAAATGTAGAAGCTTTTACACAGCATAAAATAACTGTTTTATTATGCATTTATTAGGGGAAATGATCATCTGAAACATTTATTGTCCAAAAATATAAAGGCCTTATCAATTTGAAATGAATTGTCTACTTAATATTTCTGCACAAATTTGTATTTGGCATCTTTGTTACCTTAAATATGTATAACTGTCCTAAAAAATGGTGTACAAAAATATTCAGAAAAAACACATTTAATTGGTTTTTGTGCAGTTTAAAATACTAATCAGAATATGTCAAGGAAACGTGAGTCATGAGTCCATGCACACATGGACTTGCTTCTTGTCTGCAGTTTTTCTAAAGAACATTGATGGACTAATAAAAAGTAAAACACAAAAAATGTTTTTTGTTTAAAATCAAAGACAAAAAATAACCCCAAAAAATTGTTAGATGCCTTAACAAACTTGAAAATGAGGTTTTCCTTCCAGAATGTCAACAATGAACATGAATATCCATGTGTTAGAATGGCCTAGTCAAAGATATATTTGGCAGTTGATGCTCACAGGTGTTCTCTATCTAATATATTATCTAATATTTTTTCAGAAGAAAATAACCAGAAATACTTGTTTTTAGATGCGAGGGACACATGTGACTGAGTCCAAAGAAGCTAACATAATGAAAGGAGTTTCGACAAAGTGTTTTACAGGAATAAGTTGTTGTTTTTTCCCCACCGGAAATATAAAATCAGGCAGAAATATCTGGTATATGAAAAAAAAATTCCTTCTTCTACAGATAAAGATAATAATTCCATTACAAATAGTACAAGAACTCTGGACACAATTTAGAAACTGTCTTTGTAACATTTATCCATTCGCACATTGTTAAAGGGCTGAACGTTAAAGGCAAAAAGGTAACAATTTGTTTTTTTGAGGATTATGTATCTGAAAGAGTATTGCTTTTAGAGCAGGTTCTCATTAATAGTGTTATTAATACAAAGCAGGATCTTATTCTGAAGGAATCCAGCATTGTTGAATGATATTTGATATTGTTCGTACTGTTTGTGTGTATTTATAATGAATGATGACTGCAGTAGCATTTCTTGAGCTTAATGCAAGACAGTCAGCATGTTAACTAAATACATTTTCATCTCCTTTATGAAGAGTTTATTTTTACTTTTGATTTCTAAAAGTTAATAGAGGGAAAAGTGCAATAAATATCAGAGGAGTTCAGATCTGAACTCCAGGCTGTGTCGTTGTAACAGCATTCAATAAGTCAATTAGCAGGGTTTGCTACTGTGACCCTTTCAGGACAAAATTTGACTTAAGAAATTCCAATGCCAGTGACCCTTAACCACCACAGGGTAAGTATTAATTAGGCAGTACATAACTTCCTCATTGTACGAGTGCACTCAAGAACATGAATGCATGCTGAAGCAGTGTATGAGCTAATTACATCAGAAAGCCATGCACAGAAAGAGCATGCTGTTCTCAGACACCAAATCATTAATGAAAGTAAATGTAGTTATTAATTCTTAAACTGTTTTTGCAGACCCAAAGGTCTCATGAAGTGTAATTGCTGTCAAGCTGAATATTCAAGGAAGTAATCTTGTTGTTTTTTTTTTCTTTTTTTTTCAATTATGTGTAGGTTAAATTTGGAGAACCACAGGATCAGGACTCCCAGGAGCTGTTCGGGACGATCTGTCAGTTCCTCCATGACTTTCAAAGGGTGCACGCTGAAACGGCTTGAATTGAAACTGTGAGGGCATAAATTAGTGAGGCGGACATTTTCCGGGTTTTATTTAATCCCATTGTGGTATGATTGATGTCAAAGCTGATTTTGTACAACTACCAGTTTGGATTGTTGATTTTTAACATTTTTAATGGTCATACATATGTATACCGTCTTCTTTAAAAGTTGAAAAAGTAAATGAATGCCGAAGAAGACTCTTGAGAAATGCAAAAACATTATATTTTAATTTTATAACCTCTTCTGCAGCATTTCAAATCATCATGAGCCGAGAGAAATGTTCCTTTGTTACAGCTTTTTAAAGAGATCCTTAAGTTCCCTTTGTGATATTTCCTATCATGTGCGCTCAAGATTAAAAAGCTGTCAAAAGATGAAAATTCAAGGGCTCTGTAGCTTAGTGATAGCAGAAAATAGTGAATCATATTCAAGGCTGGCGTCAGCATGTGAATCACTTATCAAGACATTTTGACAATGTTTGTGCAGGGATTATTGTTGGAAGGAGACCATATGAGGGATTTTAAGAAAATCTGGAGTTTTGTCGGACATTTTTAAGATGCTGAAGTTGGTCAAATATGACTAGTATAAAAGCCCTTAACTATACAAATCCAGCCAGAAGCATCTCTGTCATGAAATCAAGTTTTTTTTCATGCTTATGTTAAATGTAAACATATAAATGAAAGCACTAAGCCAGTAACACAAAAATAAATAATGCAAAAAGAAGAGACTTGAGTTTCAATGATCCCTAAAAACAGAATTGTCAATTAAAATAAGTCAATGTCACGCTGACTACCCTCCACATTCTGCTCATCGTGACATTAAAAATGTTTCAGTCAGTGTCTCATTTACTGCAGACAACACTCTGAAGAGTCTTAGTCTGGATAAACAGGCCTTTTGACCATCAAGCTAACAAATAGTCAGAGTGCAGCAGATTCCTAAACAGATTAGTTCCTTTTTAAAACAACCGTAATCATGAAAAACAGAAAATTCATAGCTTTTAATGTAATAAACACTATATTGATTTTTTTCAATTCTACAATTATTTATATAAAAAGTGATTCAAATTAATACACAAGTTGGTCTGTCATCCATGAGCAAGAATTTTCCAAGCATATCTTAGTCTATTTTAGTCATTTGTCCCTATACAGTTTTACATTGGAGAGGGATTTACTCAGTTCCATCACATCACACACACACACACACGCACACACGCACACACACAGCCACACTGACAACTAAGGTCAATTTGGAGGGACTATTTAATCTGACATGCTTGTTTTAATATTCTCTACTCATTCACATGCAGAACAGGCAGACTTTTGAGAGAAAAAGGCTCCAGCTGAGATTTGAATAAACCTTCTTCTTGCTATGAGGCAACAGTGCTTCCTGTCACTCCATGGTGCAAGTCCTTCAGGTGAAAAATCTATTTCAAAACAGAACAAAACAAAACACTGCTCATATATTTTATTCTGATTTTGTTTTGTTTTACACTACATCAGACTTACATTAGAAGGTAAAACTGGTCAGTTAGTTTTCAAAGGTGCTGTTTATCTTCCACATAACTTGTATCTAGAACACATGAAGTATTTGCCTGTGTTTACTCAACGGGGCAGTGTGATTATTTATGTTGTGTAATAAAATAATCATACTGCTGTGCAATACTTCTGCAGCATACATGCTCAAGAAAATATTCATATCATCCTCAATACCAACCTGTGCAAGCACAATAAACTTAAAAATCCTTCTTTATTTAACCAGGAGAAACCCACAGAGTTTAGAGTCCCGTTTAAAGTGGTGACAGCAGCTTAAAAATCCATAAGAAACTAATAATGAGAGCAGTGACATGCACCATGATCCAGTCAAACAAACAAAATAATTTATCATAAATCAAAACATTAACATCCAATATCGACAATTCTTACATAATGTTTCAGACTAAATTGATAATTCAGCTTATGAGAGACAGAGCATTTAAACTTTTTTCCCATCTCAGTCTGAGCCCTTGGCAGAGTGAGTGGATACAGGTCATCTGAACAACCATAGTAATATTCCAGACCTTGGACGGGAGAAGGCCAGAACTTGTTTTAAAAAAAGTATAAGCCAGTTTTTATTTTTATTTTTTTATTTTTTTTTATCTTTGCACCAAACCAAAGAGAATGTCCAAAGTATTACTACTACAAAGAATGAGGAGTCAGACTTAAATCTCAGAACTTTGTCAGTAGCGTTTTAAACAAGCATTATATAACGTCCATATCTGTTATCAATCGAAGACCTATTTTAAGATCTATTGCTATTTTTAAGTAAACAAAAGCTTTAAATGAGAACAATAAAAACCTTAGGAAGTAGTCTATTTTTAATGGGAGTTTTTATCCAAATTGAATGCCCTTTCAAGGAATAGTAGGACATTTACAAAACAGGTTTTGTTAGATTAATTTCAAAAGAGCCACAGTTGATATCACAGAGGACAGTTTCAAATTTCTGGTGACTTCTTATCTGATATTGACAACCTGGTACTATTCTTTAAAAAAAAAAACATTGTGACTAACAGCATTCTAGCAAACGTTTCTGTGTATATAATTTATGATGGAACCTTTATTTCCTGAAGACTCATGCAGATATTCTTGTTATCTGTAAATGAAAATCAATTCATTAATTTAATTTTTGCTACATTACTACATGTGAGAGGTTCACTTGATATAAATTAATGTTTTGCTTGCTATTTTTGTTTGCAATTGAGCTTTTTATTCAAATTCTTAAGGTTAAAGTGAGGATGTATGCATGAAACTTGGAGTAACTTGGAGTTATTTATTATTTATTTATTGAACTACAAGACTTTTTGTGGAAATAAACTACTACATCCTGCGTCAAAGTACATCCACAAAATGCATCTACTTTGGTGACAGAGAACAGTAGTAGTTCACCTCAAATGATTTTAAAGACACCATCACATTGGTATTTCTTTGTAGGAGATAATTGAAAGATTGCAGCATACATATCAAATATAACTGCACCAGTTCTTTGATAGAATGAAAACTGAAAGAGACAACCTTTAGTGGTGGGTGTGATTATTTTGAACATTTAGTCAGACTCGGGGATTTTTCTTCTCCTACTATTACAAAGGAAGCTGAGTCGAGAGCATGGCTTTACTGTAGAAACACCAAACTTTTCCTTAGGACAGAAACGTGTTTCCAGTGATGGTAGAATGTGATTTAAGGGTCTGATGGCATCATGAGTGGAACCATTTAATTCAAAGAAAAAGTTTGACATTTTTATTTTAGTGAGAAAATGACGACTTTAATTAAAACTCAGTGTGCAAAAACTGCCAGTTCATTAGCAAGAAAGTCAGAGAAAAGTATCATTAAATGTTTCTTTCACCGATATTTATCTTAAGACTTTTTTTTTTTAATGTGTTAAACTGGCATCCAGACGGCTAATTAAATGTGATTCTTCTGCTGACATGGTGACAGTTTTTTTTTTTCGTCTTGCTTTTGGAATAAGTGAGATTCAACACAAGTAAATTATTTATTTATTAGGAAAAAAAACAAAACAGATGAAGAAACAAAAGTAAAATTTTGACAGATTTTCCTTTCCTTTTGTCAAATTGCAAAAACAGTTGAAAAGTTAAAACTGGACAGACAAAAACATTGAAATTTATACAATAATGATTGAAAAGTTTTCAAATTTGGATAATATCCACTAGCATGAACAAGACTTTCGCAATCTTTGATTATTTGTGCAAAAAATTGAACAGAAAGTAACATTTTAAATATATCTTTCTCGGCTAAATAGGAATAATGACTAGCTATTTTTAAATAACTGCAAAATTGTTGCTCATAGCGGATTTTCAGCTTTACAACAATTTGTATACATAATGCATCATCTGGTGACAGAATGAATAGGAAGTGTCCAAGTAGTTTGCACAGACATGTTGGAAGACAAGTGAAAAAAAGGACACCTTGTGCAGAAAATGGAAACGGAAAATGGAAATATCGACAGATTTTTAATTGTGCCTTTAACAGGATTTTCCACATCTCACAGAATAATAAATATCTAGTAAAAATCTGAAAAACATTTTAAAAGAGGATTTGACTGGTCAAGCTGTGAACATTTACGAGCAAGATGTTGCAAAGTGTGTTTGAAACCTTTTCTTAATGTGAGAGAATGAAAATTGCAAAGTTGCAATGTCTGATATTTTCTAGTGGTTTTGTGATGAAACTGAAACATTATCACACAAGCTCCACAAAGAGAAAGAGCACAGAGAAAGTGAAGCTCCTTTGTTCCGTGCTGAAGCCACACAGCTTTATCTGGGTTATATTCCCAAACACACCAGAGGCAGGGAGTGATAACTCCTCAACACATCACTCCTTATTATCTTATAACAATTCAAATTTATGTAAAATACGTTAATTTACTGACTAAAACTGTTTAAGACAGTTTTCATCTGGATCTGGTGAAGATGATTTAGGATTTTGTGGAGCAGTCGACACAAGATCTCAAATGTCATTGAAAACATCAGCAAATATGCTTGACTTTAGCAAATATGAGCCTCTTGTACACTGCTTTCTCCTCATTTATCACTATGACATATCAGATTGCATTTTGATGTGAACTGTAATATTTAGAGTGAAATAGCACCCTGCTTGATATTCCTAATGTGTTACAAACACAAGTTCCCACATTGTATTTTTGCATCTTGTCACTCTCCCTTTTCAAGATCAAAACACCAATCTACAATACTTCCAGTTGTGAGATTGTGGCTCTTCTAAACATGATCTGTATTTTGGGATGTAGGTGATGAATGTAAACTCCTGCAGATAAAGTCTGGGGATGATTTGTCAGATATTTATTAAAGTCCAAAGCTATATTTAATGCATAAGTCATCTAAAATTCAGGATTTTTCTTTTTTATTGACTCGCTTTTTACCTATTTTCTCCTGCAGAAGAAAGTCATTAACAAACAGCAAAAAGTGTACAGAGGTTATTATAGAAAAACAAGGCTTCAGGTTTGTTTCAGACTGTGGCTCATAACAGCAGATTTTGTAGAGTAGAAATTTCTTCTTTAAAAGAATATCCTGCAAGTGGCAGCAGCACAGATCTAAGTAGTCACTTAGAGATAGACACACTTTCACTGATCAACAACAACATCAACATTAAAAATTCAAAACCTAGGTTCTAAAGCAGCTTAAAAGCAATGACACACAGATTTCTGCCAGAATCAGTGCAGACTCTGGGAACCGTCAGTAAAAGCAGGTCCTGTGAGTGCAGGTGAAACATCCCTGCAGGCCTTTGGTGGATATAAATGTTCAGGTAAGGAAGACGGAGCCCCAATACTGCCTTATACGTAAAAATATGCCAGTGAATCAAACAGTGAATGGAAAGGGAGAACCAGCCGAGATGAGAATACAGTAGACAGTGATTAGAGAGATTTTAAATTTGTGATGAATATCAGTGCCCATGAAACACAGAATCCAAACAAGAACACTTTGGACACTCAGAGGTAGCATGAGCATATGAAATAGTTTTTAACATCCTTTGTGAAAATTATGGTAGTTGATTGTATAGTAAAAAAATTATGGCAGATTTCATAGAACTGATTATTATAGAACTGAGGGTACATTTTCAGCAGTGTTCTCGTCGAGGTTTTTACAATGATAAGAGACCAAATAGCTGTGGTGATCAGATATGGGAAACCACATGTAGCTGTAATTTAACCATTCTCAACAAAGTCACTCAAACATAGCAACCCTGCTGTAATCCATTTGACCTTGCTGTTGCGTGCAGCTGCTTCAGCCTCACAGTATACTCAGTGAAGCCAGTTTTATATCATCAATGGAAGAGGGTAGCAACCAGGCAAGAAATTTCAAAATCAAAACCTTCAAGTTCAGCTGAAATTTACAGCTACAGGGCATTTAGCTTGTGCATTGACAAGCTAAATGGCAAATATATATTAATGATGGGGAAAAAACCTTGACAAAGACAAGACAGGATTGTAATAAATGTCAAAATTGGTGGTGGTGGTAGTGTCATGCTAAGGATATGTTTTTGCAGCCATATATTTAGCTATTGAAGAAAATACATACCATAGGGAATAAAGAGGTATTTGTCAAAATTCTTAAACTTCACCTCAAAACACCTTGGGGAAATATGAATGCAGCAACAGAACAATGTAAAAGCAGCTTTTCCAAACATTCAAAAGTAAACCTGGATTTACTTGGCCACAGAACATTTTATTCACTATCAACCTGATATATAAAGTCATCAATATGTAGTGCTGGTTCCGTTTACATCCATTAATGAAGTGCTGCATGTGCTTGAGTGTCAACAGTTTAGTACTCTCCACCCCAAGTGTTACCTCAGGGGGCTTTGTGTTGATTTTACAAGCTTCTATTCTTTAGGTGATACATCACAATGTGGGAAAAAAAAATGTTTTCATTTAATCAGGCTGTTTGGAAGAGCTTCAGCAGGTTTGGGATGTCGTTGTGGTTGGAGATTTCACTTCACAAATGAAAAGCTAGCTTCTTTTTCAGGTACACAAGGCTTTGAGGTTTGGCAGAAATGAAAACAGCCCTGACCAGCTGATTTATAAGCAATGTGTTTTCAGACAAGCCGAGGAGACGTTTACGGCACCGTGTCACCAACATGGAAGAAAGTAATTTTACAACTTGAAAGAAAATACAGATTCTAACATCCTTTTCTTCATTTTGTGAGACTTATATTTATGTGAAGCTGAACATTTTTTGCCAAAGATCCATGTCTATGTACCAATGTAAACATAGCCACATAATCTGGATGTGATGAAAACTTCGTGAAGACTTCTGAACACCTAAAAGGGTGGCTAAAAATATTTTGCATGCAAACAGTGAAGAAAGTATTTTTACTGTAGGAAAGGTTTGACTTTTATTTATACTAAACCACTAAGACATTCAATTGATTAATGATTACCTGAAGAGGTCTCTACATAACAAATTTTATGATGATGCTGACGTACAGGATCAGTAAATTTCCTCAGTAAAATGTGAAAATATTATTGATGATATTTTACCTTATCATCTCTATCTGAGTCATGTGAAGAATATACCATAAAGCCGATTTTGACTTTGATAATAAAATAACAATGGACCTTGTAAACAAGCATAAAAATGGTAAATAAAATAATTCCACTCTTGAACACCACTTCACTCATTGTGTCATGAATCAAGTTACTCTTATTTAGTGGAAGTAACAGCTGTACTTTATATCTAAAACAAGAGACTAGAAGATACAAGCTACTCAGGAAAATTAACTATTAATTAACATTAAAATAATTATGGAGCTCATGTCAACCTTTGAGCAAATATTTGTCTGGAAGCTGCATATGTTATCATAATACATTTGTCCCTGGTATAATGTTGTATTATCAGAGCAAATACTATGTAACATTCTAAAGCAGAACAAAAAATTCAAATTAAATACTATATAGACATTCTCAACCATTTTAACTGTTTTGTTTTAATTGCAAATGTTTCCTATTGATCAGCTTCGAATTAATGTGAAGACATAACGACATAGATTTGTTTATGCAATACGTCTCTTGAGAAGCACGGCGTAACAACTTTTATTTTTTAAAATTAAGTCTCATTCTAAACATGCAGGCTACCAGTAAACAGCTTTTTATGAGGGAGGTCAGAGGTCACTATCATTCTAACGGCCCACTGAAATCACAGTGCTATCAATGCAGAGATTTTAACCTCTTTGACATGACCCATCCGGGGTCAGAGATCCAATCACTGCTGTGTGATAGGTCAAAATAACAGATTGAATATAAAATGTTACTTGTTTACTTGAATTTTTATTCAGAATTAAAATATTGGGATACCTGCAGAGGTTTAATTTGGCTGCAGGTGGTAAAAAGAAAATGTGTTAGTATCCTGGTAACCTGCTTCTCTTCAGTCTGGCTTGGCTTGATTCTTATCTTATCCTGATTACTGAATTATGCTTTAGAGATGTGGTGACTATTACTGTGTTGCAGAGTCTGATATTGCTGCATGAAATGTGGAGAAAATGCATTCTTAATTTTTGCTTGCTTCACAAGGTTGATAGAATACTAGCCTAAAGATGTGATGGAAAACTGAACATTTTAGGGCAGGAGAGAAGATGTCAGTCAGACATACAGCACTTATGGCTTAGTTAGTCAGGATGGCTTACAGTTTTCTGCTCCAAGCTGGTGCCACTTCTCACAGTGAGGTTGAAGAATATGCAGGAAAGTGGCATTGTGAGCTTCACTGGTGGATAATTTGGCATTATTTGTTAGATATTTATATTTTGTACTGGGTTCTTTAAACATAAATGCTTAAACTGCTGAAAAAATTCTGCTCTTAGGGCAATTTAATTGAAGGCTATTGACAAAATGTCATACAACCTTTTGGTCAATATCCTTTAAAGCAACAATATGTTACTTTTGTTACATCTATCATTATGAAAAGTTGAGCTCCTACACATCCTGCCTGTGCTACTACTGCCATCTGCAGAAATCTACTGCTCCTGTCAAAAACAATCTTAGGAGCATCTTAGTGCTGTCAATCAAACTGGTGAACAGCTCGCTAAATGTGCTAAGAAACAACTCAGCATTACAGAAAAACTGATTATTGGTGGCTATGCTAACTCTTATTAGCATTCACGACAGGCTTTGCAAACGGGAAGAAGAAGCTCCACAGCAGAGAGTAAGTGGGACGGGGGTGTGTGGTGCACACAGTCTTGACCGACAGCGCTAAGACTCGCCTCTAGGCTGTGATTGTTTCTAGTCAGCACTATAAGCACTGGAAGAAGGCAGAGGAGCTTGATTTTTGCGTAACAGTTTCAACAAAAATGTAAATATTTATTTTTTTAAATAAAAGTTACACACTGCAGTTTAATTTAAGCTTAAGCTGAAATAATGAAATAAAGTGTTTGAAGTCATTTCTTTTTTACTTTAGCAGAGGCTAATTTTCACCCTGCAGACAATGTAACAAATCCTAAAGGTTGCTAATATGTTTTTGATCAAATTTGATTTCTTTAGGAGGCTTCACACAACATTGCAGAGATAGAAAAAAGGTGTGAGTCACCTGACCTTGGGGGTCTGGGTTACTACCAAAGCTGCTTGACTGGAATTTCAAAGAAATAAAAAGGCACTTAAAATCTTTGTGGTGGTTTAGCAGTTGTTTTTGTGGAGCTTATGAATAGAAGGTTGAGCTTTATGTCACAGACCTCCCTGACTTAATAAATACAAAGACATTCATTATTTATAATCAAAGCTTTATTTAAAAAGAACTCCAGAAACTTAAAATTTTACACCGTGATGTGTTAGAGGAAGATTTTTGATTTTTAGATATGAGGTTCTGTGAAACCAAAATCAGTAGCAGTATCCTTCATTTGAGAAGTGAAGAAGTATGAAGAGATGTGGAGGCCGAACAGATGGTAAGTTGGACCTGCAGTTTGTTAAAATTCTTTCCAGTTCTCTACTTGTTTGGAAACTCAATTAAGTGAGAGAACTGATTGCCTGTTTGGGTGGGAAAAAAGAGTCAAACTCAATTGTCTCTTACAGAACAGTAGATGCTAAATATTGACAGATACATTTGTTATAACTTTACAGAACATCAGCGAAGTGTCACCTTAGTGTGCCGACTGCAGCCATGCTTTTAATTGTCTTATGTTTGAAAAAGTAAAGTTTATTTTCATCTTTTTTTCAGCAGGCAAGTAGTCGTCTTTGTATTTCGCTAAATAAGGTATTTCCAGAAACCTGCTGATTATTTTATAACTACAGTTTCAGGCACAATTTTAAAACCTGAGTATTTTTAGCTTTCCCATATTTTTGTGTGGGGACGTCTGAAGAGACTTTTGCCTTTTTAACTTGTGAGACCAACAACAGCACCTTGCTATCTGCATCAGACACAAACATATCTTAACTGTAGCAAGGTTTCAAGAAAAAAGAAAGAGAAAAGGTGCGAAAGCTTTTCAAAAGGGACATGATTATCGGAGAGTGACTCATTAGTAACCATGTTAATGAGCTTGTTCATTTGGGAGCAGCTTGTTTCTTTGGGTGGTGAGACAAACAACTTCACAAAAGACAGAGTCATGAGGTGACAATGTAGGTTCTCCTTTGCTTCAGTAAAACTAAAGACGGAAACTAATCATCTCAGGCTGCTATATTACATATCATAATATTAAATCATTCTGACTCCTGATGGTATAAAGAAAACCTTTGAAAGATACAGACATAATTAACTTAATATAAAGAGCAAAATGGGTAAATGAATAGATGTGTGCAATCATCTGGGTTAGAACTTTAACTCATATTGAAAAACCCAGACAGGCATGGAAAGTAAATAAAACCTCATCTAATAAAAAGCCTTTAACTGAGGCTCAAACCAAGATCCTTCCTGCAGTGAAGCAAGAGTAATTACAGTGTTGACATGATCAGAGCTACACAACTGTCCGTCATCGCCAGACTCTCTGTTCAGCTCCTTCTGTTCCTTTAATGTTGAGTGTTTACTGAAATAAGGAATTACCTGAAGAAGAAGAAAACCTGATCACTGCTGCATTGACTAAACTCCCCAAAATGAGATTATTTTTACACTTTTAATCTGAAAATGAAATGCAACCTCAGACGTGTTGGATAGTTCTTCACTCCAACAATCTGAAATACTGTAATGTATTCACCACAAAAATGCTATTATCCATCCATCCATCCATCCATCCATCCATCCATCCATCCATCCATCCATCCATCCATCCATCCATCCCATCCATCCATCCACCATCCATCCATCCATCCATCCATCCATCCATCCATCCATCCATCCATCCATCCATCCATCCATCCATCCATCCATCCATCCATCCATCCATCCCCAGTCAAAGTCACTGCTATACCACAGCAATGATGGTAACAACTGCATTGCATTCTACAGAATAACTATTAAGATTCTAGACATGTTTCTATTTTTGTCTCACAGCAATTGTTTCTCTGTCCTTTGAGATTCTTTGTTGTCCTGGTATGAACTGTCCAGCTTGTATCTTGATTTAATTCTGCTGAAACTGAAAACAATCTACCAAACATCCTAGCAATGTTTGACAGTGATTTTTGGAAAATCTTCTAACAATACATTCAGCAGGAGCAGTTGATATAATGTCTTTGAAAAAATATCTGAACTAAAATTCACTGCTTTTTAGATTGAAACCAACTCTTGAACTAGCAGTGAATAAAGATCTACAGACTTTAAATGCCAAATGAGCTGAACACTTATTTTATTTTATTGACCAGCTTTGACTAATTAGACTTGTAAACATTTGAGTTTCATATTGTTCTTACAATGTACATATTAAAATGCAAGAAATCGAGTTGATAACAGGGGAGAAATTCTTTCATCTTATGAAAAGTTCTGCCTTTTGAAGATATTCATAATTTGACAGTAGATTCTGTGATGTCAGGAGCCATGAAGGTTCCTTTGAAAAACCACAGATCAACGCACTAACTTTGAAAAATGTCCAGTCCAGCTGCGCGCGGTGAGACTCAGACGAATCACAATATTACACTGAGACTAGTCTGGACAAATCTGGACAGATGCAGATGTCTTAATGAAATATTCTTTATTGCACTCAGGCTCCCAAAGCAGAGACAGAAAATTACCTGGGAACAATTTTCTCGAAGATTGTTCCCCCCTCCTCATTCTTCATCCAGTGCATGTTCTTATTACTGTCCGCGGATCAGAGTGTACTTTGAGATTGTGAAGATCAAATAAATTTTGAAGAGAATAAGAAAATGTAGCGTAAGCTTTGGGACATTTACGCACAGATAGTTAATTATTCTTGTGGCACACGTGTGTGCGTAAAGTGGAAGTCTGAGCGCGCACAAAGGCGGAACATCACTGCGGGAGCAGCTGTTACCAGATGCGTTATTCGGAGTAGGAGTGAGGGCTATGGACGGTTCATCGATTGATTTAACTGGAACCATTTTTCATCCAGCTTCCACGGTGGTCCACTATGGTCTCATCCACGATTTCTGAATGAATTCTAACTGAAAATGTTAACATTTTTGTTTATTTTGTTTCTGCGGGACGTGATTTAGATATAGCCTAATAAGGATTCATTGTCACTGACGTTTCGCTCGATTATGGCTCTTTTTTGGGTCCAGTAAGAGAAGCTCACAGCGTCAGACGCGTCTGCGGCGGTGAAGACCGGTGGTGGGACTGGAGAACTCGCGGCGCGCAGGAGAAGGTCTCTGCCTCTCTACAAATCGGAGCTATTACAACAGAAATAGGAGCGCCATGGTGAACTGGCTCATACTGCTGCTCAGCTGGACGATGATCTCCAGGGTTGCGAGAGCTCAGAATGATACGGAGCCGATCGTCCTGGAAGGAAAATGCCTGGTGGTGTGCGACTCCAACCCGGCCACGGACTGGAGGTCCTCGTCCTCTCCGCTCGGCATCTCCGTGCGCGCCGCCAACTCCAAGGTGGCTTTTTCTGCAGTCCGGAGCAACAATCACGAGCCGTCAGAAATGAGCAACAAAACAAGAATAATCTACTTCGATCAGGTTCAAACTTTTTTATTGCTGTGATAATTAATGTAATTAAAAATGTGTTTGAAGTTTCAATAGGCTATTCTGTCAATATGTTTTCACACCAGTTTTACTCATTTGGCTTTTTCTTAGTAGTAAAACTTGTCTCTGACGTGATGCAGAACATTAAAATATAATTGCATGTTTTAATGCAGCTGCAACCTGGAGTTTAGTTTTGAAGGTGGTTGCAGCTGACACAGAATATTTGGTTGGCCGCACGCAGATCCAAGAGTAACCGGATCTTGTGTCCTGTATGAGCCCACAAACACGCACCTGTGCTTTCAACCATCAGCGCCATGCACGCGTAACGCTCACCCAGAGCCGGTCCAAGGCAAACACGAACAAAGCTGCAGCTTAGGCCCACCCGCCAGCAACAGGCCCCAAAGTTTGAACTTTTCACACAGTTTAAAGTTTTTATTGCTTATCAATTATTCAGATTAAAGAACAGGTTTATTTAAAACGCAATTTTTTATGCTTGAGGATTTATTCCACACCAGATAGTATGCAAATTATTTACGTATTTATAAATAGAAATGTATTCAGGATTAGCAATTAGATTGAACTGTATATAAACCAAAACTTTATGTTTATTGTTGTAGTTTCTGAATTTCCCTTTACAGATGCTCATCATACATGGTGAATGTTCTGCTGTGGTGTTGTAACAAAACCAGGAATGTCCAAACCTCATTTCAGCATTATTTCACTGGAAGTACATCCTATGGAAATATCTTGCTGTCACAAAGAAAACATCTTTTTATGCGCTATCATGTTATAACAAAATAATTATATTGTACAATAATAGTGATATTACACATAATAAATGTGAAATTTAATCCAGAAGGAGGTGATAGTTTGCTTATAAAAATCATATAGTATGCACACTCATAGAAGGTTTCTAAACAGAAAAATCAGTCCAATCGTCCTATTGACCATTTAGGTTACAGGAGGCATCATTGATATATGTGACTGAGATATTGATATGTTGTGACTCAGAGTTCAATAAAACATTTGTTGAAATTTTGTGATCCCAGTAGAGTGGATTGACAGCAAAAGAGCGACGCATTTATGTAATCCTGGACCTAATTTCAAATGACCTGTTGATTCCTCCAACATGGTTTCCATAGGAGTCACAACAAAGGCCTATCCAAACTTTTAGCCATTCATTTAGCATCACTTGCTCCCCAAGTGCAAGTGATGCTATGCCAACTTCTTTCTACTGTCGAGTCCCATAAATGTAGCCAAAGGATATTACAGTCACCATCTGGATGAAATGATCACGTCTATAGCTTTTCAAACTTTGAAAAAGTTTATAACTCAACTCATTTGATAACATAGTAGACATGTTACCTGGTAACCTGATAACCATAAACAATTTAAGTTAAAAAATATCTTTGTAGTTATGTATTTTTAATTAACTATCGTTTTTTTAATACTCATAAAACACTCAAATCATATGTATAATTAAACTATTTCATGTCAATACTGTATTTACATTTATTTCAAGCAGTTGATTCAGTGAGGGATGAAACATTTACATCCCGGATGGAGATAGTGACAGACATTTGAAACCCTGTAGCAGATATTCAAAAAATGATATGAAACAATAAATCAAAAGGTGAAGAGACAATTTGGGTGAGCTCTCTATTTAATGCATAATGTCATAGTAAATTAATGTCTAAATGAGAATTATTTATGTTTTTTCAAGAAGAACATTTTACATAGCCTATTGCTCCCAACTTAAGGCCTACTGGAAGAAGTAGGCAAAAACAAAAACACAGTTTGTGATATGTTGACTTCTGTATTTGTATAAAATAATGTCAGGGGAACAACATATATCAAGTAACTCATATTCTGAGATATAATTAATTTAACCCATATTTAATGTGTTTAAACTATCATTGTAACAATTCCCTAATAAGAGTCTACACAGAATGTTGACCTACTTATTTGTTGAGAATGAATAGTCTTTGACAATAAAAACTGAATAATCAATCCTAAACCAAACTGTCTGAGCTTTCTTGAGCTTTATGACTTGTTTTGAAAAAAAGATGCCTGAAATCACCCACCATGCTTTGGCTTACCTCGCATAAGAAACCAAGATTAAAGATTCAAATACTTTTTTATTGAAGATGAAAACTGAAATTACATTCTAGAACTGTTCTGGGACATAATGTATAACTCGTTCTAGCCAAACAAAAGGCACAGTCCTCTCTGTTATATCACAAAAACTCTCTTTACTGCTATCTGTAATTATCAGAACACAAACTCAACCGTATACTTTTTAGATTCTCTTGTGGCATTTAAAAATAACAAGCAGATGCTTGTCTCTGCAGGAATCCGGAGAAATTCGGTGGAAACACACAAGACAGATTCTCTAAAATGACATTTTCCTACACTGCTGGCTCTAAAATTCATTTTTGAGTTTATAGCTTTTGGGGGAAAATTACAAAGCAATGAGTCTACTTGAGTTTTTGCAACTGTTTTGCATTAAGTAGATGCAGGAGCAATCGTCCCATAAAGTCCAGCAGATGTGAGAAATTCAAACTTTGTATCCGTTTGCAGTTGTTTTCTCATCAGCAGTGGATACACCTGGTTCAGAAGTAGTAAAATTGATCGAAAGAAAATACTTCATTATCATTCAGATTTTCAGAGAAGTCCAATTACTGACTTTTGGAGGCTTTACTCAGATTTAACTTGAAGAAAGTAATTTGAGTGGAAAAATCACAAAATGGACTTTCTGTATCAGTAAGTGATGATGAAGACTTAATATAGTAGAATGATACTTCACTTCATCTAATCCATTCAGAGATAAGGTAAATATTGTTCAGATTAAAGTATATTAAGGTATATACAAACATACTAAATTAATACTGTTAGCTTGGATTTGCTAATATCAATATATTTCTTAAAACATACTCAAAACCACAAAAGTCAGACAAAGGTCAGGACAGTTACACAAATATTTATTTAATTTACAATTATATTGAAATAAAATAATAGTAATTTTGCTTAGTAAGCTAAAATATACAGCAGACCATTAATTTATTTTGAATTTCTTCCCTACGCTGAGCAGACAAAGCAGACAAAGGCAGATCCCTGAAACAGTCATCTGCCTTCTCATCTGAATTGCACACCGTGATCTTTTGACGTGTCTGCATGACGATCTGTGTGAATTCAGCGAATCCCATGACTAGATTTGTGAAATGTTCTGATGTGTATTTCAATGTAAAAATTGTTGTATTTTAAAGAAGCAAAATGATTTTTGATCAAACTACATACATGTTTATTTGAATACACAAATTAGTTACAAGAAAAACCATACACATCTGAATAGAAGGCATGATTTCTACCTAGATGAGTTGGTAGAAATTATGTTTAATTTTATTCTATTTTGCTCCTACTTCCAGCAGAATTTCCTAGACAATTTGTTGGTGCAATTTGGTTCTAGTCCTTGAGATGGAGGTATAAATATTGTATTTTTCATATTTTGCGTCACTTTCGTAAGACCAATTGGATTTCAGGACAAGAAAATAGTATTACAGGTAATTATAGTGACAAGAAATGTCAAACTACACCAAAACAGACTTGACAATTTAAAAAGCTCTTCTGTGGTTAGTGACAGACATAACTGGAAGCAGATACAGCTTATTGCCTTGACATTCTTGGACTGGCCCTGCAGTCTCCTTTGAGCATGAAAGAAGAACCCAAACATGAAAAATCAGAAAATTTACACATCCATTGGCAGCATCAAGTGTTGGGATCCCTGAAACAGTCATCTACCTTCTAGTCTGAATTGCACACCGTAATCTTTTGACGTGTCTGCATAACGATCTGGTGTGTGAATTCAGCGAATCCCATGACTAGATTTGTGAAATATTCTGATTCAACTTACGTTGGATTTTGAGCAGATGCAAATCAGGAGGGTGTGAAACTGCAGATAGGAAGAGAATTGCTGCCTACATTAATTAAAATCTACAAACCTCTTTTCGTTTTGCTTCAGTGGCTCTAATGTGACTATAGTGTGCAGAAAAACCTTTTAGTGACACCATGAGATGGTTGTGAATGGTCTGCTGGAGATGCTGACGGGCATATTCAGGTTACATGGATTTCAACATGCAAATGACTGAAAAAAATATTTATTTGTCTACTTTCTTATTGTCAGTAGATTATTTTGTATATAATACCACATGACAAAGCCTCCAGATCATTTCAGGTTTGGGGTTGGCAATGGAAAATGTGATGTGGCCATAAAAGCCAAAAAAATCCAAAAAACCCCCTTGAAACCTTTGAATGCATTTTTCAATCTACCTAAAACAACAGTTGAATGTTTGGCAAATTGTGTAATTTCAGTGTCTGACCCCAAGGACACTCACAATAGAGTTGATTACTCTTTTTATTTAATCACAAAAGCCATTTGAAATAAGGCCTTTATTGAAGTATTGAATAAATAAGGACTGTTGTCACAATACATACTGTTTTTGCCTTTTCTTTTTTCTCCCAGGTACTTGTGAATATAGGAAACTACTTCACATTTGAGTCTGTCTTTCTTTCCCCAAGAAAAGGAGTCTACAGTTTTAACTTCCACGTCATTAAAGTGTACCAGAGCCAAACTATACAGGTACCGTCTTCATGTAGTTCACACACCATTTTCTATAAAAATGGCTAATTGTATTATAGTAATTCATCAAAAATATTAGCTTACACAATTATATCAGCTTAAAAAAATGTTAATCATCAAAAACTTATAAAAAAAGTACTTTAAATATCACTTTTGGCAATTTTGTTTAGGAGAAATATGGGTGAATTTAGCATTTTATACCTATGCTGTCCTCAAGGCAAGCACAAATGATACAGAAGTAAAGTAAAAATATCTGATACCTTCCTTTCAGGATTCTTCCTTTCAGTGGAATTGGTAATAATGCATCCATGACAAGTGGAAAAAATAACTTATTTTATAAATGTGGTCTAATGGAAATAGTATTGTATTAACTAAAAAAAAAAGCCATTTTGCAGATTGCTAATCATTTGATGGCACACTTTTCTCAACATCACTCACTCTTTATGCAGACTTCTCTATAATTATGAGATCACTAATTGACCAAAAGATTTGAAAGAGCTAAGCTGATAAGCGTGTCTTGTACATACGTGAGAATATTCCCTTCACTGCCTTCATGGGAATGAAAAGAAATAAGGCTAGTCAGTAAACTGAAAGACTATGTTGATGTAGTGGAGCAGACAATAAAGCCAAAATATAAAATCATTCAATTAACAATGTTATAAGTCCATCACACCAAAGGGTTTGGACTCTGGGCAGTTTTTGGTAAAACTAGATTAAAAAAAGCAAGAGGAAAAAAGACCAGAGCATATGCTGGAAAGGTATATTTATTAGAACTTATTTTGGGGTAAATCAGACAAACAGTACCAGCATCACCTATTCTTTCAAACAAATAGAATAGGTGTTTTGCTAACCAGCATCAAAAAAAAAAAAAAAACTTTTCACCAGGCATTAGTCATATCAACCACAAGACAGCTCTGTCAGCTCAGGAAGGAGCCGTTCTTATTGCTGCAGTTTTAATAGTGGTAGCAATTCACCTTGGATTTTATTGGATTTTTGCTTTTCAATGCCCCACTGCTCCTTTAAATCTCATTAAATTGGTTTAGTAGCCTAGACCACTGGTTTCCTAATTCGGGGTTGGAACCCCACTGGGGTTTGTGAATCAGCAAGTGTGGAGTCCAGAACCCCTCTGCACAACTCTGATAATAGAAAGCACACTTATGCTGTAAATGTTATATGTCATTGTTAAGTAGATAAAAGTAATATATTTGCTCATGATTATGTTTCTATTATCAGAACTCTCTTATTTAATTGACCTTCTGGTATGATTAACTGGTAATGATGGTCTTTTCCACCAGTATTTTGTGCCTCAGAGCCTCAAAACTTTGGAAATCACCAGTCTAGGCAATAAATATATACTTCTACAAAAGCAGGATCAAAAATAAAAATAGTCTCATAATAAACTGAAGTATACTTATTTGAATAATCATTTAATACAAAGAAAAACAACACAAGATAGCAAACAAATTTCAGACTGAGAGGAAGTTGGGCTCCTTTGTTGTTCAAGTAAGCAAAAGTCTCCATCACAGAGGGAAGCATCTTACTTCTTGAAGTTATTCCCAAGGCTGATTTTTACTTCACATTTACATGTTCTTCAGAGGCAAATATGTAAAAGGTTAAGAAAACAATTTTAACTTTTTCACAAATCCTCAACTTCTGGTATCTTAGTCTCAAAACAATCAAAAGTGAGTGGTTTCATCCAATTTGAAAAGCTCAAACTTGACACTGACAGAATATTATTCTATATTTACCAGCACACCTTGTCTTAATTTGTCTTAACTTTAATAAATGTCTGTGTTGCAGTTCCGTGCTTGTTGTTTGCACTTTATTGTCATCCTTTCATCTGCACATTCATTAATTGTTACTTTCTTGTGAATTATTCAGGTTAACTTGATGCTAAATGGAAAACCAGTCATCTCTGCCTTTGCAGGCGACAAAGATGTGACTCGTGAAGCTGCCACCAATGGAGTTCTACTTTATCTTGAAAAAGAGGACAAAGTTTATCTGAAGCTGGAAAAGGGAAATCTAGTGGGCGGATGGCAATATTCAACGTTCTCCGGCTTTCTTGTTTTCCCTCTGTAGAAGAAAATAAAAAGCAAGGAAAAAGAAAGGACAATTCATAATGTGCTGTCACGGTATAATCAAAACATTGCTGCTTCATCTGCTGGATTCAGCCAAACGACTGAAAAATGACAAGAATAAATACATCACTACATGGAAAGGAAGTGACTTTGGAAAATGCTCACATTCTGGGGAGAAGTCGGGTTTGGATCAAAAAGACTTGAAATATTCCTAATCGCTATCATGTGTTTCTGTCACTCAAGCAGTCCCTGAGAAGAGCACTCACACAAACAAAAGACACTGTTCAAACCGAAATACGCTTAGGATCCTGTGAATTTTTTTTTTTTTTTTGTGCCACGATTATGGAATTTAGTTTAATCTGCTTTTGTTGGTGTAAACTGTATTTGCTGGCTGTATCAACTACTATGACCAATGTATACATATGAGAACATGAGAGCAATGAATCTTAATCAGATCAGTAACACAAAATGCTTGGTTTCTGAGTTTGTTGGAGCAGTAACTTATTTTAGAACCAGTTCAAGACATAAATGAACTAAGCCCAGTACACATTTTGTACTTTGTTAAAATATAAATGTTAGGTCATGGGCTGCTATTTCTAAAAGAGATTCTAAATCAACTTTTGGTATTAATTTAATTTGACTAGATTTTCAGAGTAAAAGAAAGGATTCTAAAATAAAGAATTTATTATAAAGTGCTCAGAAATCTGATGTTGGAAAATATTGCTGAGTCATATTGTAAATTTGTGTTATGTGTGACCTTAGGAACCATAAAAATAACCACAAACATCATATGTAATATTTCATCCATTTTCCTCTCCCTGTCCATCCATCTGGTGTTATCCTGATTGAGCAGGTTTGTAATTAAGGTCAGGTGCCATGTAATCCAGTTGGCAAGTGAGGCAGGCGCCTATGTTTTCACATTCCTGGCATCATAATCTAGCTCTGGGGATTACTTAATTTCCAATAAAACTTGCTTATTATAACTTCAAGTGTGCAAACAGCATCCTTTTTTGCACAATCAGCTTGTGCTTCATGAATCTTAAAGTTGAAAAGGCTGGTGAACATGAATTTAACTTGTAAATTCTTGCAGCAGCCTAACTGTAACAAAACTTCTGTTGAATTTAAAAATTTAAATGTTGTTACTCAGCTTAGCGTGCGATGGCTTCTCTGCAAACATAGAAGCAAATTTACTCCTTTTGTAAAGTGTAGAACTCACAATTAGCTTTGTTTCAACCAGAAATAAAAGCCCACTTTCTCACGTGAAATGCTGTCTTACACTAATTAAACTAATGGTTCTTATTTCTTGTGCATCATTCCTTTATTTTCTGTTTTTGAATGATGAACTAAACATCACAATCATATTCTGTAAGAAGCTATAAAACAAGGAGATGGACTGTAAGGTAAAAGGTGTTATTTATCTTAGCAGACATCCTGATAGGTTAGAGTGACACACATCAGAAACTGTTAGAGAAAAAAAGACAGGCTTTAACAGCAAATCCAGAATATTCTCTGATAAGGTTCTGTCCCAAAAGGTTCTTTCCAAAGTACAAAACATTAAAGCGTTTATCAAACGCCTCGGTAGAGCTTCATGTTGGTTTGTTGATTTTAATTGTCACAGAATTGAAACAAATGAAATCTGTATCAACTCACTAATATTGGTTTGCTGATGGGAGCAAAATTCCTTGTTAATGGTTGACAGTGCTGCTAAAACTCATGTAGCTTCAGTAGGTGATTATTTTAATATTTATACAAATTATTTTTTTCAGTAAATATATACATCAGTGTATTCATATATTGAAGAATAATCACACTTTATGATGAATAGACATTGTTTTTTACATGGATCAGAAAGATGGTCACTGAAAGGTTTTATTAAAAAACATTACTAAACATCATTGAATCTTTTAAACCAATTTCCTCAGCTAAAAATATGCTGAGACCTGACAACAGTGTTATTTATTTAAATAGAAATGGAAAGCCATTAGTAAAATTGTTCACAGTTGGAATTAAATTTGTCTGAAATGTTTAGATTTTACTTCCACATACAATATGTCAGTAAACAGAAATCTCAAGCAAACAGTCAGTGGGTCTCCTGATGTTTCACTAAATGAACTACCAAATTCAACTGGTGAAACTATCACAGTTCAGATTCACGGGAGTCATGGAAACATTTATCTGCAGCGATCTTGAAAAGCTTAAATTGCATGGAAAAGCATTTTTACCATTAAGGTTTTTGGACATCTTTTTATTTTAAATCTACAAACCTCTTTATTGTTTTGGAACTTCATGTGCTCTATCTACACATGCAAATGTAAGGTGAAAGGAATATCAAAATAAATCCAGAAACGTGTGGCACAACTTCACCTGCCCTCCTTTACCTCAGGTTAAATCCAGTGCAACATCAAGTCATTTTCTCTGCTGCTGATTGGCTCTGTTCTCAAGAGGGAAGATAAGAAAGACTCACTGTGGATGTTATCACCTATGGTAGTGCCAAGACAGTTTTCAATATGAGGTTTAATGAACATTACGGTATACTTTGACTTTCCACAGTCATACAAAATGAACCAGTAAGATCCCTGGCTGTGTACGATTTCAGCTCATGTTGCCATGATTGCAGAGTCAAAGAGGTGTGGCTTTCAACTGAGAGGTGATTTCCTCTGGGATGTTGCAATCTTCATGCATGCTGTCTAAATGCATTTAGGGCTTTAAAGCCAAGAAAAAGTTGTTGTTAAACATCCTCAGCATCTTACTAAATGCTCGATGTGCCCTTTAATCTCCTATTAATAAGATGAGGTTATTTTCTCAGAAATATTTGGAGTGAAAGTGATTAATAACTATGAAGGCTAAGACTTATTAAAACATATATATATATATATATATATATATATATATATATATATATATATTATATATTATATATATATATATGTTTGGACATCTATATATATATATATGTTTTTTAATTCATGATAGTTTAGTATTCAGCGCACTGCAGCACTACAGTACTTCTATCCACCAAACAAGTCTGACTGGCAGTTTAATAAATGTCGAATGACTCACTCACAGCTATGCTGAGATGCTTTTTAAATCTGATTGTGTTGAATAAAAATGGTGATATTTTTCCTTTAACTAGTAGCAACCAGACCTTTGACTCTAACTGAACACACATAGCATGTTTTTAGGACGAGCTATCATTACCCAAAATCTGCATCATATTTGATAATGTAATGTCCTGTAAGTCTGTGTTTTGCAGTGTTGAGAACTCTAGGTCACCACCATCTTGTGTGTGTGTGTGTGTATATATATATATATATATATATATATATATATATATATATATATATATATATATATATATATACACACCTGCCTCTCCAGGTTGTGGAGAGGCGGGTTATTGGTCGGTAGTTGTGTGGGACTGATTAGGATTAGGATTGTTCGCCCTTCAGTTAACCATTCAGGGTGAGTCCCACTTTGCAGCAGCTGGTTCATTTGGCCTTCCGGTCACTCATGGAGAGCAGTGAGTTTCTTTAGCCAGTAGGCATGGATCATGTCAGGCCCTGGTGCTGTCCAGTTTTTCATACCTGACATAGTGATGATTACCGGGGCTTGCTCAGGGAGGTTGCTGTGGTCCTCTAGTAGAGAGATCAGTCACTGTGCATTACTGTTGTGGGACGTCTCCCTTTCCCATATGCCTTTCCAGTGTTGTTCAGTCTCCAGCCTTGGTGTGTCTGCTCTGTTGTTATTACCCTGCCATTGAGAGTACACCTTAGCTGGTTGAGTGGAGAAGAGCCGGTTAATTCTTCTCACCCACCGCGGGTGGTTCTTATCCTCTGAGCTCGGGTCCTCTACCAGAGGCCTGGGAGCTTGAGGGTTCTGCGCAGTATCTTGGCTGTGCCAAGGACTGCATATTTCTGGACTGAGATGTCTGATGTTGTTCCTGGAATCTGTTGTAGCCATTGATCCAGTTTGGGGGTTACTGCCCCGAGGGTCCTGATGACCACAGGCACCACTGTGGTCTTCACCTTCCAGGCCCTCTCCAGTTCTTCCCTGAGGCCCTGTTATTTCTCCAGTTTCTCATGCTCCTTTTTCCTGATGTTGCAATCACTTGGTATTGTTACATCTACCACAACGGCTTTCCTCTGCTGTTTATCCACTACGACAATGTCTGGTTGGTTCGCCCTTTTAAAAAAAAAACCCTGCCATATGCCTCTGGTAGTGGCTACAACAGATCCCAGGAACAACATCAGACATCTCAGACCAGAAATGTGCAGTCCTTGGCACAGCCAAGATACTGCGCAGAACCCTCAAGCTCCCAGGCCTCTGGTAGAGGACCCGAGCTCAGAGGATAAGAACCACCCGCGGTGGGTGAGAAGGGAATTTTTATATAGTTCATTCATATTATGCATACTGTTATTTCTAGTCATGCATACAGTAATGAGAAAAAAGAACATGTACTCTTTTTGACTCTAGTATCTGGACACTGAGTTAGCCGTCCAAGATGGGGAGTGGAATATACTTTATTTAAAGTGCAAGAAAATCCATCTGCACATAGTTTTCTAATAACATAAAAGTATTGTTCATACATATCAAATCTAAAATTAGTATTTCAGAATGATGAAAAATGTGAATATCCAAGCAATGAGAAACATATTTGTGGCATATAATTGACAAACATATGCTATCTTCCTCTTCCTCTAGATAATCAGGTCAAAGGTTGTTAATTTTCCTATTGAACCCCTGAAGAGTAAATTAATCTCAAACTGAAGTTGTTTACATGAATAAGCCTTCATTTCATTTTAATTTTGCTTGAATGTTGATTTTATTTAACTTTTTTCATTTTTACTCACTGTTTATTGTTTTTATGTTGATTTATCTCTCATGTTTATCTAAGGATATAAGTTTAAATTAAACTTTCCTTACTGACGTCCAAGACTGCTATGGTTCACTTAGTTTGTAGACATATGGATCTGCACAACTCTATCAAGAACCTACCGAAGAGTGTTTTTTAATGATGTTGACATCTGAACTTTGACTGGTCCACTGCAATTTCTCCGCCTTCCTTTTGTAGGTTTGCTGCTGTGTTTGAGGTCATTGTCCTGCTGTGTTAACCCATTTCTTTACAGTTTCAGTCGTTGGACAGACTGTATCACATTGAACTCGAAGGTACTTTAGTGTAAAGGGGTTCAGATTTACTCAGACTGCAAAGTAAGACCTAACAAACCAATCTCCATCCCATAATGACTTTGCTCTTAAAGATATATGTTTGGAAATTTTCTGAACTGAAGTCTAATTTGTTAACATGTGGCTTCAGGCAATGAAACATGCTGTTCAGGAGATGAGAAAGTTTGTAATGTCTCCATTTTTTTTCATATTACTATAAAACCAAGCCTGTTCAGAACCGCTCCAAGATTTTATGATTTATTTATTGAATATTTGAGGATGTGATGACAGAAAAAAGATGATATTACGCAGAAGTATCAATCAAACTCTTATTTATAACTTGCAGGCCTGATTAGGATGTAAAGCAATGGCACAAAACTCAGTGTGAAAATTGAAGCTACTTCATTCAAAAAGCAGTGGTGTGCTTTGAATTTCTAAACTAATTTTGACCTTTCCACAGGTCTGTTTGAGAGCAATGTTGATGTACATTTGAATGCATTTTGTTTTACCTTTTCAGCACTTAAAGCTGATTGTTTTCAGCTCTCAGTTTTAGTTTTACAAAACACCATTCACTTTGATTGTATCCACCATGAAACAACGCCTGAACGGAATAACAAGTCTGCATTAATTCAACAACAAAACATGAGTCACTTCTGAATGCACGCACATTCACATTGTTGTCTTTTTTTTCTCCACAAGGACTTTTACATTATACAATGCATACTTAAGTCCTTTTATTATCATGAGTTACTTTCTGACAATATACTAATTCCAGCCCAAAACCAAGATTTAAACCTAGGAATCAGGTTGTGGACAGTTA